TTGTCTTGGATGCCTTTTAAAATCTGCGATTGTGATAAGTTTCTCTCAACTACAACCGTCGCGCAATTCTGGCTCTAGGCGGTCACTTGACCAGAAAAACCCACATCTTTTAGATCGCTATACAAGATAATTGATCACGAAAGCTAAAAACAACTGAAAAACTTTTAAGATTTCTTGTGGGAATGCTTAGGGTTCGATCGATGGGAAAATCGTAGCGTTACTTTATTCTGTCGTTTATTACTTTGGAGATTTGCTAAAAATAGGAAATAAGGCTTTACTACGGAACAAAACATTCATTATTCTATAATTTTATCATTTATTAACATTATCGCGCAGTTCACAATGAGGAAACTGTAACAGGAGGGGAGATTTTAAAGTCACATGTCGCGTGCTTGTTTACGTACAAGTTGCCGTGTGTAACAACTTTTGCAGACCGTGAACGACGGAAAACCCTGGCTCTCTCATTTGAAAAGAAATATCAAAAGCCCCATAAAATTCATTAACTGCGCCATGTTTCCAGAACAGAAGACTGGAAAATGTTTTTTCCACTTTCCACCATCAAGAAATTCCGCGCAGAAGTAGTATTTGTAGCGTGACTGCGTGATTGTTTATCTGCGTTTTAAAGAAAACACTTCAAGAAAGTTCTTAAACCTTCTGTTATTTTATTTGCCATTTTTAGTGTGAAATTTTCCAGTTTTAGACTAATTCTTGAAGATATGTATTTTTTTTGCCATGGAACGCAAAAGATCAGCTCAAAATGAAGACTTTCCAAAGATATTTCGTAAAACTTCAACTACTAACTATTTACATCTATAGTTCACTGCTTAAGTGGCTTTTCTCTACGATGTGCACTACATAATTGCCGTAACCAGCCGATGAAATGATGATGAAACTGAACTAATTCTAAATACTTCAGGTTTGCTCACAGAGGAACAAAATAAAGCAACCGTACGCGTTAATCCTTCATTCTTGCACGCTCTCATTGAAACGATGGACTAACTTTTCCTCTTTATTATTCCCGTTTCTAATAATATGTTTCATCAGGAAAACCATTCTATTGTATTTAAAACAAAAGACGTTTTAATCCAATGTCTATCGGGACATGAACCGTGTCAAACTCTACATTAAGGCGAACAAAGCGTGGGAGAGGTTATTGAGAATATTGACGACGAGTGTTAACAGTAAACAAGTTTGTCTGGTATTGCTGTTTACCTTTTGGCTTCAAGATGACCTTGAAACAAGGAATACTACTCTCTGTAATCTTCCTACTTTTGGCATTCTCAGCAAATGGAATTGAATTCGAAGGTAAGATGAAATGAAAGTATTGCTGATTATCATGGGTTCTGGCTAGCATGAGGTTCGGCCCAAAATTGACTTTTCTGAAGAAAAATTCCACGGAATTCGTACCTTCGCCCTTCGGCGCTCGAAACTTGCCTAGTCTTGTTCTGAAGTCTGGCTACGGCCCTGATGATTTATTACCTCCTGGTAAGAAATCTCTTCACAAGAATACTGGTCTTCGAAAACACTTAATTCTCGACTGGAATCCTAGTCGAGATCAATGATAGGCTGATAGCTCTGCTTTTTCATTTCTTTCGTGGCCAAAATAAGCTGTAATCTACCACTCACTCATCAAGTTTGCGCCATTTAAATGCCAAAGAAGACAATACATTTCTCATTCATAGCGAACACTCCTTAGTTCTCAACATTATCAGCGGAGGGCATGGTAAAAAATATCGAAGAATTTTGAAACAATATAATAACTTGTCATCTTTTTTACTTGAAATGTTGGATTTATTAGGGTTGGCTTTCATTGATAATGGTAGTAGACTTCTTTCTTTCTTTCTTTCTTCAGTCCCCTGTCACCCTTCCCTCCACCATCCCTCCTTCTCTCACTTCCTAATTGCAATTGCCTCGTCTTGATTTTGGCCCAAGATTGACTTTTCTGAAAAAAAAAATTCCACGGAATTCGTACCTTCGGCCTTCGGTGCTCGAAACTTGCCTCGTCTTGTTCTGAAGTCTGGCTCCGGCCCTGATTATTTATTTCCCTCATGACATCTCTCAACAATGGACTCATTGCGCCGCAGACGAAGTCTGCAAAATTACTTTCAAATCTACGAAAAATGTGCTAATATGCAAGAAATCTCGTAAAAACTCCACAAGAATACTGGTCTTCGAAAACAACACTTAATTCTCGACTTAAATCCTAGTCGAGATCAATGATAGGCTGATACCTCTTCTTTTTCATTTCCTTCGTGGCCAAAATTAGCTGTAATCTACCGCTCACTCATCAAGTTTGCGCGACTTAAATGCCAAGGAAGACAATACATTTCTGATTCATAGAGAGCACTCCTAAGTTCTCAACATTATCAGCGAAGGGCATGGAAAAAAAATATCGAAGAATGTGCACTCCAATTTTGAAACAATACAGAATTTTTTTATTTGAAATGTTGAATTTATTAGGGCTCGCGTTAAATTGATAATGATAGTAGACTTTATCTTATTTTCTTTCTTCAGTCCCCTGTCACCCTTCCCTCCACCATCCCTCCTTCTCTAACTTCCCTTCACCTACACGTCCGCTATAACCTTAAGAAATGTTAATTTTGAATGACTCATTAGTCAAATATTTTTATTTTCTGTGAGAAACAAAAGACACGGCTTTTCAATTGGCAGCTATGGCGTAAGTCTCAAGCAATAGAATGTTCTGCTTGACCCGGAAAATTCTGTTCAGTGACGTTTTGATCCGCTTTTAATTAACATGTTTTTATATATATGCTGGATATTTCTATCGCTTAATAAGAGAGCTTCGTTTCGTTCCGCAAACTTGGCCCTCAAAATATTTGTCAGCCGATAAACACTGAAGTTTTCCAAATGGCTTCGGGAATAGTAAAGTTTTAAAATGGCCTTTGCAGAAGTGTTCTTGGACTGATGGCTAATTAACATAGCAAAAAGATAATAAAGTGCGCAAGCCATTAAAACGCAAAACGGCGGCATAGAGTATTAAGCAACTGAGCCTTGGAGCCAAGTCTTTTCTTCCGCTTTAAATAATAACTATGAGAGAGAGAGGGAGGTGAATAGAGGTACACAAACTTGCCGATCATCGCTGAGTTTTTTCAGCGATGGCTTGTCAATCAACAGAGGCAAATAAACGACCGTGTTCTCAGACTTCTCGATTCATCCAAATATTTGACAACTTTGAGATCGAATATCTCCCCTTGTCAGGAAGCTACAACACTACTTTTGATTCCCCTTTATAATCCATCGTTTCATCTCTGCGGAAAACCATCAAAATCGTTTCTCGTTTAGAGAGATGCATGTAGGCGAAAAATCGATGAGAATATCGTAGCGTTTCTTTATTCTGTCGTTTATTACTTTGGAGATTTGCTAAAAATAGGAAATAGGGCTTTAGTGCGGAACAAAACATTCATTAGTCTACAATTTGATCGTTTATTAACATTATCGCACAGTTCACAATGAGGAAACTGTAACAGGAGGGGAGATTTTAAAGTCACATGTCGCGTGCTTGTTTACGTACAAGTTGCCGTGTGTAACAACTTTTGCAGACCGTGGATGACGCGAAACCCTAGCTCTCTCATTTGAAAAGAAATATCAAAAGCTCCATAAAATTCATTAACTGCGCCATGTTTCCAGAAAAGAAGACTGGAAAATGTTTTTTCCACTTTCCACCATCAAGAAATTCCACGCAGAAGTAGTATTTGTAGCGTGACTGCGTGATTGTTTATCTGTTTTTTCAAGGAAACACTTCAAGAAAGTTCTTAAACCTTCTGTTATTTTATTTGCCTATTTTTTTTAACGCAATTATCGTCTGCATTTGCCATTGTTTTCGCTGAATGTAATGACCTTTGCGTGCACGTGCAAGCCAGTTGGTACACAGCTCTCTTTCGAGTTTCTTTGCTTGATGTCGAGCCCAGGTGTGTAGGTCTGGCTGAAAAGATATCTGCACGCTGCATGTTGTCCAATACAGCCAAACCGCTACGATTCGTCAAAGGCAGTTTGCGAATCGTTCTGCCGGAAGTCGATTCGTGGTTAATCGAAAATCTGATAAACTACCCCTCATTATATGGAAACGCATACCGGAAGTCAATTTGCAAGACACTTGGAAAATATTTCGCAAGTAACTGTCGAGGGTTGTTGAAAATGTTGTCGAATCGACTCCACTCGACTCGAGTCGAACTACTCGTCTCAGTTTATGTCGACCCGACATACCGGAAGTTGATTTGCAAGACACTTAGAAAATATTCCGCGAGACGAACCTCAACATCGCCAAGCTCGGGAAATAAATATAACAAACTCTCTGTTTCACAGACAAAAGCGTCGTCGCCATCCAGCCTATTCCGCTTCCCACCGACAAATTCCTCTTTATCTCCGCAGGCATACTTCTTAACAACCAATGTGAGACCAAATAAGTTTAAAAAGCTCTTTCCTACAAAACGAAGGACTGTGAAAATACGAAAAAACCAACACGATCTTCGTAAAAGCCAGCCATATTGCTGTCAGGTCGCACGTCTCCAAAGTTGTCGTTTTCAAAAAAAAAAAAAACCCACTTAGAAACGAGGTAATCACTTGCCGAATCCATGCGAATCGTGTCGATTCGTCAACATTGAATACTCTAATTTAACGCTTAAGTATGTATTGTCTTCTTTTGCGAATCGACCTCCGGAGAGACGGATCGACTTTACAAATGACGAGTCGTGTCGACCCGTACGAATCGTGTCGATTCGTCAACAGTTAATGCCCTTGTTTAACGCTTTAGGAAGGAAGAAGGTTAAATTTAATATTTATAATATTCTGACAATGGACTTCCGGCCGTTTCACGATTTAAGAACGTGGAAGGTTATGTTGTCGTTTTCTCTTTTCATGCTACTTTTTTCACTTATTGCTCACGCCCCTTGACTTCCGGTACGTTAACACACGATTCGACTTCCGCTGTGTGGATTTGTCAACGACCGTAGACGAATCGTAGCGGTTTGGGTGTATTGAACATGTATGATTTTGCTGGAATTCTTTTGTCTGAAGTAAGAAACCAAAAGAGTAACTAAAAGATACCTTTTTTTTTTAGCCTGCAGCCCTCCTGGAGAGTCCATTAATGCTGCTAGTGGTCACATTTCCAGCCTCAATTTTCCCAACAACTATGACGCAAACAGGATTTGTACCTGGAATATCACGGTACCCGGCGGGAAAATCATCAAACTGACCTTCTTGAATTTTACCCTGGTAGCAGGTGAAAACGATGACTGTGCTGGAGCGGCAGCAGATAGTGCCCGAGTCTTCATCACAAACGTCGCCTCTCATGGAGGAAATCCTAATGACTTTAAGATCTGTGGTCAAAAGCTTCCCCCTCCTGTGTACTCTGAGGGAAATTTCATTCAAGTAAGATTTGAATCTCGCACCGGCCCTGTAAACAAAGGGTTCAATGCAACCTTTGAGGCGATAGATGGAGATTCACGTAAGAGCTTTAATTTTCTTCTATGGTAGTTTATTAACCGGAAGTATAGAAGTATATTGAGCATGTACCCCTATTAAACTGAGCGGGAATTTTTTCGAGTGATCATGCAAATAATAAAGTAAGCAATCTTTGAACAGCTATAGGCTGTAGAAAAAAAAATGCATATAGTCAAGCCTTTTACTCCAACGCAAGCTGCTATATTTCACAATCGTTATATTGATTAAAGTAGGAAACCGCCAACATACGGAAAAGGAGCTCTAGGGGGGTATTTGAAATCATTCAGTTGACCACAGTGGACTGTAAACCTCATCAAAATTAGAACAGTTTTCGGAGAAAATGAAGCTTCGTTAAGATTTTTCATTTAGTAAATTAAGTTTTTACAGTAAATAAGATGCATTTTACTAAAGCTGGCAGTCTTTTTTTAGTGTGCCCAACAGATGTGATCCTCGATGAAACATCAGGTTCTTTCTCCACTCCCTTTCATCCAAGAAACTATCCATTCAACCAGTCGTGTAGCTGGAAGATTATAGGGAAGCAAGGATACCATGTTGAGCTCTCATTACCAGACGATAATATTCAACGTTGTGATGGCATTGCTTGCTCGTGTGATTACATGGAAGTCCAGAATAGCTTCAGTGATCAAGTGCCGCCTGGAAAACTATGTGGTACACCAAGGTTTATTCCTGTCATATTTTATTCACTGCACGAAAGCCTGAGGGTGGTGTTTGTGTCCGATGATACAAGCATGGATTTTGACGGATTTGAGGCAACTTACAGACTGTTGAACTACAGTCCTCCAAGTAAGTAGAGAGAACAACTTCGTGGGATCTAAGAGTTCGCTGAGAGAAGATGTTACATGCAATAAATTCACCCATACAAGAAATGATAAGGAGCTTAGTTAATAAGAGTGGGGCTCTCTCTGTTATCAACTCAGGGTGAATGCGAACATCTCTGATGTATAGTGTAAGCGGTAACGTACTGGGAAGCCATGTTAACCTAAAAAATAAAGGTGGTAAGTTTCCAAAGAAACTGTGGTGCTGCGTCGGTCGGAGAGTATAACAAGATAATTTGGTTTCATCAACTGAGTTGATGATGTAAATTGGTCTCCGTGATGAGTTTCAAATATTCATATTCTTGCCTTGGGGCTACGTCCTTATAAACACCATATTGGAATGTATCAGCCTAAAGAGTATAGTTTTGAGCCGTTTTGGTCTGTATAGATTTTGACCATTGGTCGAATCAACAGTTATGTGATAAGCATTTTGACTAGATGTTATTTATCACCTATTGGGGAACAGAGGCATAAATGACTTCACCATTTACAACAATTTGCTTCTTCATGGTATATGAAACAATTAGATTCCGCGTTGCTGTCCGTCTGTTCAGGAAGAGATACCAGACGATGTCACACTGAGTTCATCAGTGACACTTGGCAGCGCCTCGCGTACTACTTTTTTGTTCTTACCACATTTTGACGGCATCTGTTAAAGAAACCATATATCTATCACCAATCCATGTTTATTCTGGCCTGTTCCAATCGTTCTAGTAAGTAAAACAGAGCGAAATAGCCAAGGGCACGATAGTAGCGGCGTAATGAAAAAGAGAATGGGGTTTGGGTCTGGTCGGGAAATGAAGAAGTTGATTTTACAACATGACCCACCCCTCCCTCGTTTTCTCTCGCGCTGTTCAATATGACACTGCGTTTTATCAACTGAACGCTCGGAACAGCCTATGCTTATTCTTTCACACTCACGTGCTCCTTTTTCATTGTTTACAGTTTGTCCCAGGGAAGCAATTCCTCTCTCAGGCAGCGGGAAAATAAGCAGCACAAACTACCCAATGAGTAACTACACTGCGTCCAGAAATTGTACCTGGAACATTACCGCGCCAGCTGACAAAATTGTAAAGTTTAAGTTTGCTGATTTTGTCTTAAGTGAGTGTTCAGACAGTCATTGTTCGGATTCTTGTTCTTATGTGGAGCTTTATGATGGTGGGTCAACAAGTTCGCCTTTGCTGGGGCGATTTTGCCAGGGGTCATCTTGGAATGAGACTCAGTTGTCGAGTGGAAACCAAATGTTTGTGATGTTCCATCCTGGACAAACAGTTGATCGTGGATTTGAAGCGAAATATAAATCCATACCGACCGGTGGTGAGTACCCTGTGAAGTTTATTCTGAATATCCTCTTTTATAATCATCAAACATTTTTGTTGCGCGAGTCTGGTCTTGGTGCGTTACGCAACCGACTATGCCCCAACTTGCATGTCATTTCATACTTTTATATTTTTAAGAGACAGACAGACTTTCGCCGCTCACCACGATCACGCTGAGTTACCCTCGCCTTCTTCTGAAAGAAAACGTATTTAACATTTCTCTTTCACGAGGGTCTCAATGGGGTTAACCGTTAGCCGTAAAACGGCCAAAAACTTTACACGTTAGACGTAGAAATTGACAGATTTTTTAAAAGAAGAGAAGACTTAAAATTCCATTCCCTAAAAGCTGAAACTCTCTATTGGGGCGGCGTGTCTGAGTGCTTAGGGCGCTGGACTTGTAATCTGTTGGTCTCGGACTCAAGTCCTCCGCCCTGCTACTCACTCGATTGGTTTTCGGTTGCCCCGAGTATAACTCCCACCAATGGCATAGCTCCACTTTCTACATATAAATCCACACACAACCCACAATTCCTCTAATCGCTTCGACGAAGGGCTAATGCTCGAAACGTCAGCCTTTTTACCCTTTACGGTGGCTAATTTACGTTTTCAACCCAGTTGTTAACACTAAATTACCTGCTATACTCTCCCACCGACGCAGCACCACAGTTTCTTTAGAAACTTACCCCTTTATTCATTTGTCATTTATTTGCTGCGACCACTAACTCTTACCTTAGAATTTTTCTATCTACAGATCTCAAAAAAAAGCTTAAAAAAAAGCTTAAAAAAAAGCCTAAAAAAAAGTCTAAAAAAAAGCTTAAAAAAATTTACCAAGGAGCTACGCCAGGAAATCGTAAGTTACCTTTTTCCTTTCCCCCCTATTAGTGAAGATCTAGCATTCCGTTTAGCCGTTCTCATTTTCGCCAAAACTAGGTTTTATAGTCACATCCATTTCATCGGCCGTTGCCTTCATTCCAAAGTTATTCCTAAGGGTTTTCGCTCCAATTTTCACACATCTTCTTTTTCTCATTCGAATCAATATCGTCACCAAATTCAGTGCGCCCAAAATTCTTTTTCACGCAATAAAAATCTCATCATTACCACTCCTAGAACTTCGTGTATTTACTTTTTACCTAAAATCCACAAACCTAACAACCCAGGTCGACCCATCGTTTCTGCCTGCAGTTGTCCCACTGAACTTATTTCCAGCTATTTAGTCAAAATTATGTCACCTATCGTCAAAACTCTACCGTCTTACATTAAGGACAGCCAACATGCACTTGAAATTTTTCGTGACTTTAGTTTCCTCGACCAAAACAAACTTATTTTCACCATGGATATAACATCTCTTTACACTGTCATTCCCAATGACGAAGGTCTCCGGGCCCTCAAACATTTTTTTCGATCAACGCACTGTTAAGAAACCTAGCTCTGTAACACTACTCCGTCTGGCCGAACTAGTACTCACACTCAATTGCTTTTCATTCGGTGGTAACTACTACAAACAAACTAATGGCGTGGCCATGGGTACTAAAATGGGACCCAGCTACGCCAATCTTTTTGTAGGTTTTATCGAACATCAATTTTTTAGCCAATACCACGGCCCAAAACCTCAACTCTAAGGCCGCTACATTAACGATTGCATCGGCGCTACCTCCTCTACCAAAGAGGCGCTCACTCAATTTATAACCGCCGTCAATTCCTTTCATCCGGCTCTTAACTATACCTGGGAAATTTCCGACACTTCTTTGGCTTTTCTAGACATCAAAATTTCAATTGAAGGCAACGGCTTATGTACTAGTGTTTACTACAAACCTACAGATTCACATAGTTACTTGTTGTATTCATCCTCACATCCATCACACGTCAAGAACTCCATACCTTTTTCACAGTTTCTCAGACTTCGTCGTTTATGTAGTGACGACTCTTATTTTTCTGAAAAATCAGAGGCAATGTGCCAGTTTTTCGATAAACGCGGCTATCCTGTTTCTGTCGTTCAAGCGGGCTACCACCGTGCCCAACAAATCGATCGACAGGCAGCACTACAAACGGCCGAGAAGGAGAACACTGACCGCATTCCATTTACTCTTACATTTCACCCTCACAACCATGCAGTTAAATCTATCATTCTTAAAAATTTTAAATTACTCCGAAACGATTCAGAGACTGGCACTATCTTTTCGCAACCCCCACTTATTTCATTAAAACGTGACAAAAACATAGGCAACTTTTTAGTCAGGAGTTCATTTCAAACCAATGACCAATCTGGAACTTTTAAATGCGCTCGCTCACGATGCAAAACTTGTCCTTTCATTCATAACGTAGAGAAAATATCGGGACCCAAAAGATCCATTAAGATCATTGATTACTTTACGTGTACCTCCGCCAATGTTATTTACTGCATAACTTGCACTTATTGCAATAAGTTATACATCGGCGAAACAGGAAGACGACTGGGTGACCGATTCCGAGAACACCTTCGCGATGTGGAAAGAAATGACAAGGACGCATCCAAACCAGTCGCTAGACACTTTAATCTTCCTATTCATTCTAAACAGCATATGGCAGTTTGCGGCCTTTCCTTACATCTAGGCAGTTCGGAAAGCCGTAAAACACTAGAACAAAAATTTATATTCCAAATCGGCACCCTTAATCCCCACGGAATCAACGAGCGCTTTTCATTCAACTAATTTATTCCTGTTTTCTCGTCACCATATTCCCACCAATGGCGTAGCTCCACTTTCTACATATAAATCCACACACAACCCACAATTCCTCTAATCGCTCCGACGAAGGGCTAACACAATTGTCAACACTGAATTACCGAGTATAACCCCTCGGCTGCGCTGAGTAAATAGCCAACTGGTCTTTTTAATTCCAGTTGGGGTCTTGAAGCATTTTATACTTGTAGTGTAACAGTCACTCTGAAAAGCCCCGCGTGGACGAGCCAATAAAGTATGTGTGTATGTATGTATGTATGCGTGTATGTATTTATGTATACAGCAAACGATATGTTTCCTCGCTAATGAGAACTTTTGCAGTTTACGCCAGAAATTTATACCTTCGTCGGAGGTCTTTATCCTTTTATTACATATTTTTTTAAGGTGTAGACCCCTGTTCAGAATATCCCTGTGCCAACGATAGCACATGCGTGGATAATGAAGACAGTACCTTTAAATGCATATGTCCTCCCGGTGTCACCGGTGATCGCTGCCAAGTCGGTGAGTATTTCACTTGTTCAAGTTTGAAATTCCACTTCCGAGAATCTTACTCTTTTTTGATGTGAGAATTTTGACGTAGGCAAAGTGTTTCGTCACGCATGAGAGGTTTCGTAATCTACTCCGGTATGTTTCAATTCCAATTGCTACCTTTTAACTTTTATCCTTATTTCTAAGGTTTAGACCCCTGTTCAGAATATCCCTGTGCCAACAATGGCACTTGCGTGGATAATGGAAACAATACCTTCAAATGCATATGTCCTCCCGGTGTCACTGGTGATCGCTGCCAAGTCGGTGAGTATTTCACTTGTTCAACTTTGTTTGTTTGTCTTTTCTTAAGGAATATATTTTCGATAAATAGCGATTCCCACTCATCATATTCCTTACCGATATAATGAGAAATTTGTTCTTGTGTGAATGGCTTAAATTTGTTTTTCAGATATTGATGAGTGTCGGGAGAACAAGGACCACTGTCAAGATATCTGTGAGAATACTATGGGGAGTTACTACTGCTCTTGCTCAGATCCAGAGTTAAGCGTTGCACGAGACAAGCGCCATTGTATTGGTGAGAAATAATCTAATGGAGCAATTTTCCATGTAGTTGGAATAAAAGGTTGTTAACATGTTGTTTGATTATTTGGTAGAAACAGTGAATGATGAGCACTTTACAGGATGGCCTCGAAGTATCAGTCTATGGCGATCGGCCTTTTTGGTCTTTAAGTTTTGGTGTTCTTCTTGCCAAATACGGGTTTATCATAATTAACATCCCTGTCAGATTTTAAACGAAAGTTGTTCGTATATTTCAAAGTACAAGTTTTTCCTTCGTCTAGAGCCTTGAGCAATTGCGCAGATTACACGACTATAACATGATGGCGACGTGACCGTGAGGGAAATGGCAATAAAAATTATTTTGGGAGAGAGTGAGAGAAGTAATCAAAAAGTCTCGTCTTTTTTAAGCACGGAGACTATTTATCATTGGTGACCTATTCTTGAGCATTTTTGTTCTATAAATCAATTATCCTTCGCAGCTACTTAATGTCGCAGTCAGATTTTGACAATACAGGTTTCTATTTTTGTATTCTGTATGTTGCCCTTAAGCGTTTAGCTATATTGGCATCTTACCTCTACAGAGTCTTAAAATGAAATCTGATATTTTATTTCAACAGCCGAGGGAGTGGAAGTAGACTGTGGCCAAGACGAAATAACTATTACTCTACCCAAGTCTCTCCTCTTGGGTCTTGACCGTGAACACCTGAGACTAATAGACGCGAACTGCACAGCCACTGAAAACGAGACTCACTTTTTCCTTCATACCGAAACTGGAAAGTGTGGTACCATTTCGAAGCATAATAAGGATTACGTTATATACAGCAACATGGTGTCCGAAATACCTATAGAAGAGAACAAGATTGTGACGCGCTTGCGCCAGGCTATGATCCCCTTCGACTGCTTTTACTCCAATTGGGGTGTGGCGTCTTCCATTGGAATCAGGCCATCAGGCAGGAAGATCATTTTTTCTTCCGAGGGATTTGGAAAGTTTACTCTCAGTTTGGATTTGTTCCGAAGTTCTCAGTAAGACAAATCTATACAATCGTGAATATGGTCTATTCCATTTGCTACTATGCAAATTGTATATTATCGTACTTGACTGGGTCATTTTATAGATATGAGGTCGAACACAAAGCCTTTCTTGAGAAAATAGTTGTATTTGTGTGGGAAAAAGATAACTTTATGTTAGAGGCATGACACTGCGTGACTGTTGTTTTGAAAAAAAAGATAAGATTTGGATTCCGATGTAATGCGTTTTCGATCTTAACCTACATAATTTTTGCGATTGCGCAGTTCCTTCAAGGAAATTTGCGAGTGCTGAAAAGATTGTCGAAATTAATTTTTAGCTCCAAAAGAAGTCTATCAAATTACGATTTTCAAATTATTGCGCGTAGCTTATTCAAAATTTAAAATGATACAATTACTGAAAATTTAAAGGTTGTCTTCTCTTGATTTGCCCTTATAATCACCACAAAGCCAAGATGTTAGAAAGATGCTGATGAGTGCAATCCAATTTTTCGACTGACACTTTTGAAACCAAAATGTGCTTAAAAGGATTTTAATAATGATACAAAGTGGCGACCGAGAGGACGTTTTAACACTAGAAAGGTCCATTTCGGTATTTAAATCTCCAAACATGGATTTTAGCATAAAATTATTACTAACTTTTCTGAGTTTGTACATCGCTTTTGTTCAAGAAAATTACTTGTTCATGTCGAATAGACGCAAGCCTCAAGAAGTAAGGTCTAATTGTATTTCAACTCTTTCCTTCCATCAGATTCATTGCTCCCTTCTCTCAGGATGACTTCCCTGTTGAATTCACAATCCGTGAACGAGTGTACTTTGAAACCCGTGTCGACAGCGAGGACTCAACATTGTCAATCTTAGCCCTGAAATGCTATGCCACCCCCTATCAGGACAGGAATTCTCAGCCCAGATATGATATTATTAAAGACGGGTAGGTAACTCTCATTACGTTTTTTGCTCCATGACTTAAACGAGGTGTTCAAGTTTTGCCTCAAAAAATCCATTGCCAATTGAAAGTTGAAGGTGAGGGAATAACAAATTTTTCATGTCATGAAAACTTGAGGATAAGGAGAATAACTGTTTTCTTGTAACCTCGAGGGTTTACTTATGCAACTACTCTTTTTTAACTATGTTTTTCTTTAAAAATATTCGGTGTGTAGCCAGACATATTAAAAAATTTTGTGAAAAAGAAAAAAGTTGACATTGGTCAAAAAATATATTGTTCTGGGCGTTTCGGCTACTCCTGTTGCCTTCTATAACAAAGATAAAAATGCAAAATGTCTAACGGCGTCCTGTTTGGTATATTGTTACACTTTAAAACATTCCTTCGAGATTTAGTTTTATCACACATCGTGGACATAAATAATATGCCAAGCAGGACGCCGTTAGCCATTTTGCATTTTTATCTTTGCTGAAGACGGCAACAGTAGTAGCCGAAACGTCCAGAACAATATATTTTTTAGCCAGTATCAACTTTTTTTATTCTTTTTACCAAAATGTTTTTCTTTCTTTCTTCCAAATCAATTTCAATAGTTTCGTTGAACAGCCAAAATATTCCCATCTCATGTTATTAAATAAATTATTCATCGATTGATTGAAACTAATTAGAGGGCATGCATCTCTCCAATCACTCGAGCTTTTATCCCAAGAGACAGTCAAAACTACGGTGGCCTCTGACTACCATTATAAATGAAAGAAAAAAAGTGGATATTTCTGTTTAAGTTATAACAAAGGATCCAAAGTTACCTTTGTGAACTTTGGATGCGTAGCTCTAACTTTGGATTCGTGGTTTAAAGGTTGGATTCTTAGCTACAACTTTAACACCACTATTCACTCAGTTACAAGTCACGGAACCAAAACCTCACCTCACAAGTAATTAATAAATAAATACGTTAAAAGTTTGTCTAGCAAGGGTGATTCGTGAGAGTGCTTTTGATAAACTTGTAACCGACAAACTTTACAGAACTGGTCTTATTTTCTCACTTTCTGCAGGTGCTCGGTCGACAATGATGACACACTTCAATTCCATGACAGTCCCGACAGCCAGTCTCAGCGCTGGAGCCTTGAAGCCTTCCAATACGTCAGCAACCACGCGTTTGTGTTTTTCCATTGCGAGGTCCAAATCTGTGACGCCGCAGATCCTGCCTCAAGATGTGCTCAAGGCTGCGTACAGCGAAGACGACGAAGCGAGGGGGTTCTTCATGACAACCCGGGTAACAAATACGCTCTGGCCCAAGGTCCTATCGCACTGAACCGCGAGAACAGAGAGGCGGAAGCGGTTGCCTTGGATGAGACTAAGCCCAAAGTTAATACAGGCAAGTATTTGAAGTAAATGTTTTAAAGCATTTGGCAATGCTAACAGCAAGATGCAGAAATATCTGAACAGGTGTTCAAGACATATCTTAAGTCCAGACAAAAAAATTACTCGGTAGATGGTTTTGACTCAGGAGCGAGAATCGACACCGCTGTAGCCTGATCGTCCAGGTGAGAGAAAGTCCGCCCTGAAAACGACAGCCGTCAGTAAAAATGGAAGACGTTTCGACAATGTGAATGAAAATGATAGGATTCTCTTTTGCTTAGGGTGTCGAAACTTGACTCATTGTCAAGCACAACCTCCTATTGCAGGGCCACTCTCACTCACTCTCATTCCTTATGATCAGACCACACAAGTAGCAGAAAATGATTCTACCGCAGTCTCAGTATAAACAAACAAGTGCTACACTAAAATGTATTCAAAGAATGACTTGAGAGAGATGACTTGGTAACTTAACTACATTCCCAACGTCACTATTTCATAACCAACTCCTCATAAACGACTAGTTTATCGCATCTACAGACAAACTGGACGACCAAACGAACGGCACATATCGGAGCTGACCGACCAAAACTTGCAAACGCAGTTTCAACCCCTTGGCTGGTAGAACAAACAAACCACGCAACAAAGGATTAATTAGTTTTGTAGTATCAACTTAATAACATTGCAACGTTTCAAAGGTGTATCTCACTATGTTTCAGGTCCACCCTCCTCAGATGATACGACATGATTAAACTAAGCTCGATTTTCTTACTTTTCCTTTATCAGGTTTCAACGTGCCTGTTATTGCCTCGTTGGGTGTGTTCATTGGATTTTGCATTGTGGGAATGGCATGGCTGAAGATAACTTCGGATAGAAAGAGAGTCGCAAAGCAGTTCATACCGCTTTACGAGGACCTGCAAAAGTGATAACTTCTTAGAAGATTTTCTGACCACTTTTGCTGAGCGTAGATGTATAAAAAAGTCTTAACGCAATTCTGGATATCGTGTTCAATGATATCTAAATCGGAGATCACATCCTCATTGCTGTTTGACTACAATGTCTTAGAAAAGTTACGTTTTCAGCCGTAGGCATCGCATAACCAAGTGCACGTCTTCAACTGAATTTTCCATTCACCAGGCCATTTGTTAACAATTAAATTTGCAATTTTTCGCTTCTTTTAATGTTTAATCTGAGCATAATCGTGATTAGCTATTTTTGTAACAAAACCAAAAACCATTTTTTACATGCTAAAGCTTGGACTGACGATCTTTAAGTCGTCGTTGCTTTAAAACGTCATTTTCAACGGCTTATTTTCAATCAATGCACTTTTCCCACCTTCTTGAACCCTCAGTCAGTCTGATTATAGCCCCCAGTGGCTATCATCTCTCATTGGTATATCTGATTTAGGAGCTGGTTTGGTAGATTTGCCGTCCTACATGAATGATTAGTTATCTTCTGGCATTAGTAAGTTGAAGCATTTTGGTAGTCTTGAAAAATAAAAAATAAAAAAATCCACGTGCTAACAGACTTATGTCATTTATACTTTCCAATGCCATTTTCGTGAAACCGTTCATTAGTGGTCGCCTCGTTAGCTCAGTGGTTAGAGCACTGGTCTTGTAAACCAGGGGTCGAGAGTTCAAATCTCTCACGGGGCTGGGCATGATTCTTTTTATACTTCTGTCACATCAAAGTAGAGGACAAGTTTTCAATCATGATAAATTTGATGTAATTATAGTGAGGTCAAAAATGACCCTCTGATGTTTTGGGTCCAGAATTGTGTCATATCTTGCCATGAAGGCAAGGTAGTCATATCAATCATCTGAGGCCCTTGTTTGCATAGGGGTTTTTAACTTATTTCGTGGTTACGTATGATCTGAATGCGTCATGATCAAACCGTGAAAAAACAGCTGAATTTTGCAATTACTAATCAAGCAATAACATGCTCCTCTCATTACCCTCTTCGAATCTCTTTATTCACGAAACATATTTTTAAGCGTTCATTTTTAAAAATTATCCATATTTCTTTATCGGACGACAAGAAGCTGAACGGTTCATTTACCTAAAGAAGAACCTTTTAGGCTCAACTGTAAAATACCTTGCTATTTCGTACATGTCTGTGGTATTGCCATCAGTGGCTATGTAGACTCTAAATAATTTTTAACTGTGTGACATTAAACATGAGAGGCACCTCTCCGTAGATGAAGTTTTACATCAATCCTGTCTTGCTGAAGATTCAATGTATAAACATACAGTAGCCTGCATTTGGTGTGGAAATCCCGCGCAAGTTTTCGGAGGTAGATGTCAAAGAGTTTGAATTGCCATCAGAGGAAATCACTTGGAAGGGGTTTTAGGGTTTGTTCAAGATGATTTCATCTGGAAGCACAGGAACGAACATTTTAAAGCGATCATCCCACAAAAACGACGACACTAATTGGGGTCGTAATGCCCCCCCTAATTTTTATTCTGCAAACAAAATTACAATTTAAACCATAAATTCTTGCCTCACAAGCGATGATAGTCATGCCTGACCTCAAGTGGAAACAAATCGCAGAGGCATTTCAAGGAAGGAAGGAAATATCAGTTAATCTTGGGTAGGGAACGACGTGAGAGAGTCAGAATTCGCGAAAATTATGGTTACTTCGGGTTTTCTTGGGAGTTGAGATATCAAGCCAATTACGACGCACAAATTTTAGCAGAAACAATGGCGGATCGAGCGAAGTTGGCTTTTAAAGTGAAACTACATGATGATTTCCTGCAAATGGTTTTGAGGAAAGAACGCCATCCAAAAAGGTTACAGTGATTTGGAAAGTAATCTGGGCAGGTAGCTCAAAATGCAGAACAATAGTTAAGGTAAGTGAAATCTTTTTGGCAAATAGCTCGTGTTTATCGCCGAAATGAACAAAAATGCTGTGATACTCTTTGCATCGCCGTGTTTTGGTCTATAATTCCGGTAGTTTCATCGGATATTAAACCCTGGAGGTGAATAATAACTGCTAATTACCTTCTTCTAGCCAATCAGCTCGCTCGAAAAGTATTTCCGCGTGTGTGGTATACACTATTAGTATTTATTTGAGTCCCCTTCACCTCCCATTTCATTCCGGTGGCCTTTTGATGATGGTGGTTTTGGACATCCTTCCATGTACAAATTGAGGAGAATGGTAACAGAGGCACCATTGGTCACCAGAGTCAATGGCAACTTGAAGTGTGATCACCATTCCATAGATTTGTGGAAATTCATCTAACACTTGGTGAGCTACAATTCATATTGAAAACAATAGAAAAAATAAAGAAAACCAAAACAAAACGAAGAAACAAAAGAACAAGAAAAAAAAGACACTTCACAAATTACAATCCGTCTTGCTTTTTCCGCTTCTGGTGTTATTATCATATTTCTGTTGTTCATGCCAATATGAGTGGGACTATTATTCACATCAAATTAAACGCGGCCAAAGCTAAAATAAGAATTGAAGGAAATGACTCCCACAACAATCCACCCAAAAATTATTTTTCATGAAGAGGCAGCTGTTACTTTCTCTTTCTTCCGCGACGTACAAAAGATTGAAATTCTGGACACTAACTATTTGTTCAGAATAGCTTGTACACTAGTACGGAGAAACGCTCGAGAAATATGTCTTTTGATTCATAGTGCGACGAACTAAAGTTGTTTTAGTAACCCGTTTTTTCTCGCGACATGTTCGCAAACGAATCAGAAACGGTCAACCAAGCCAACATGACCTCGTCAGTGTTCTATTGTTGGTATTATCCAAATTATTCTTGGGACTTGGGGGAGACCACTTTTGCCTGGCTTATATTTGGTATTACAATCCTTGCTTCTCCCGTGATTTTTCTTCTTAATGCGTTCGAGATCGCAGCCGTGAGTAGGAGGAGAGATTTGCAGAGAGCGTCGACTATTCTGTTGTGCAGTATGGCCCTTGCAGACATTTGGGTTGGTGCCGTATCCCTGCCGTTAACTGCCGTTATTGATTTGTTGATTGCTCACCAAACGTTTCTTGACAACGTCTGTATTTTAGACCTCATAGGCCTTGCTGTTATGTACTGTGGATCCACCTCTGTGCTGTCCCATTTGACAGTGATTGCATGGGAGAGGTACATTGCTGTCAAGAAATGGAGAACATACCAATTGATCTCGACAAGACGACGTGCAAAGAGACTTGCTGTACTCGCTTGGCTGCCGTCGATGGTCATATTACCGCCCTATTTCTTAGCTGCAGCTAACATAGATATTGGGTGGTTTGAAAATTCTTATTTACTTTTTCAGGGTGTTTTTTGGGGATCTGCCTTAACAGTGATAGCCTATTTTTACCTAATGATGTACCTTGAAATACGAAAACTAAAAATGAACCTGGTTCACACTGTTCGCACTGTATCTGTTGTAAAGCAGAAAGCTAAAATTGCTAAGACAACTGGTTTTATAACAGGAATGATATTTTTATCGTTTCTTCTTCCCACTGCGATAGAAATTTTGGGAAAATTCTTCGCAATTTTTCAGAAAAGTTCGGTTTTCCGACTGACTGAGACAATCATGCAGCTTAATTCTCTCGCAAATCCCTTGATCTATTATTACAGAGATCGCCGGTTCAGAAATGCTATTTTTGAAATGCTACGACTAAAAAAATCAGAGGAAAACCTGCCAGCTGCTGGAGCGGAGCCACGATCTGTTGAGGAAATCAATCCTGAAAGACAGAGAAGAGTTGCCATGAATGAATTACCACCACAAAATAACCAAATTAAACCAAAAAGAACATGAAAGGGTAATTTTTGGGTAAGGAACTGAGAACAAACAGTCATATGCCCGACAATTTTCCTTTCTTTTTATTCCTTAATAGAATATAGCAGCTACGCAAATGTCTAATACTTATCTAGCCGAGCCGCTCTTGAAAATCATATAAGGTCCTTAATTACAGTATATTTATAACTTCATGATAACATCAAAAACTTAAAAAATAGGAAAGGTTGAGAACAGCTTGGTTTGAGAAAAATGTAAAGAAGACTTTTATTAGCGTCATTAACTACTCAAGAGATGTTACTTAAGGAATAATCTCCTGTATGTCACGAATTTCTCTCTCAAAATACTTAACCGTGTTTTTTTTCGTTTCTCTGCGAGAAAGCTTGGTATTTCATTCCATAGTCTAGCAACGATTCTTCAAGGCACTCTTTCTACTACAAGGTTTGACGGTTCCACATCGAAATAATAAGAAGTAGCCATATAAAAGTGTGTATGGCAAGAAAGGAAATCATATGTTTTTGCAAATAAACTACCTAGGTTCATTGGCGCTAAGGCGGTGTTAACATCAGCATTAATTCAGATAAATTTTATGATACAGAAGTTGTGGAGGTAGAAGTTTCTGTAGCAGTGATGTTTTGTTTGGACAAGACATACAGACCTGAAACCAAACAGACAATCCTTTGGTAATAGGGTTTGTCGGTAACTTTGTCTAAACGTCCGTTGCCTCACGGAACCGATTTCGTTGTGAACATGATCTTTTTAGGCGAAGTGCAGTGTGGAATCAAACGTGTGAATTTTGCCGTAGCTAGCTCAGCAGTAGTTCACATGTCCAAGGTGATCTTCATTTGAGAGGGGTTGTTAAGAGCGGTCGAATTTATATGGATTCATGATTGTATAATTGTTTTTATCATTAATTTGTTTTTTCCTTGAAGATTTTAAGAAACAGTTTTTGTAGGGCGCAGCAGACAACTGGAGGTTATGGTGTTTATCATTACTATATGCATCAGCATAATTATTATGATTGCTATTATTTTTTTAGATATACGCACTATTTTGTCTTTTTGTTACCTTTTCAAATGATGGGCAAAGATGAAGAGATAACATATCCATGGATAACGATAAGAATTTGTTCTCGTTTTATTATGAAAAAAATGTTCATGATTTGAACAGAAAAGCTTTCCTTTGCGTTCAGTTTGCCTTCTCCCATTGAAATAAATTGATGTTCTTTTCGAAGTCTTTAATTTCCGATTTTCACAACATCTCTTACTGAACACAATTGATTCTGCATCTCATCTGTGTGTGGGCGATTTTTTTTACCCTTCAATACAGACAGAAATGTCTTTTTAAGCGACAAGCCTATGTGTTTGGTTTCCATTGCCTAATTGAAATCGTGGGGTTGGTTTACAGACAGCCTTTCACAACAATTATTCAGCACTATAATGATCCTTCTTACTGGACTTAGTTTATAATCCCTTGCCTTCATGGATTAGCTGAGGTATCGACCAATTTTGAATCTTCCTTTATGTCATGTTTTGTATGTTATTTCTATCTTTTATAGCATCATTTCCCATTGAAACTGGATTTGAGCGGGACACCAGCTGCCAAAGTAAATATTAACTATTTTTGTTATGTACTGCTTTCTACACATTTTGGCGGTTTTACGGCTATCGGTTAACCCCAGCGAGACCCTCGTAAACGTGAGACACTGGCTTAATCAAACTAACTGGTAATTTGAGTCTCAAGGCTTACGTATATATGGCTAAAGACGCCCCATGATAGGAACACCTTGAAGTAATATACCATCAGGTAGTCTAAGGCCCAAACCACTCTAAACTGTTTTTAAAAGAATCCATTTTAGTCTTGGCCAAAAGGAAGCAAAATATTTTTACTCACTGAAGCATTTTTCGTTTTGCTCTCTCCTGTTTACATCATTATAGCCTTCACAAACCATACTCCCCCAAGGAAAGCTTTTTCTTATTTGAACGATAGCAATGAAAATCAGATCGACCGCGAGCCAGCTAGCGAACTGAAAAGAGGCGCAAATTGCTGTTTGCCTCGACCAATGGGAAACCAAGTCTTTGACGAGCATCAGTGGCAACGGGACCCTATTGATGGACTTACCTATCGAATTAGAATGGCGTGTCATGAAAGTTAATAGCTCAATAAAAATATGAAGGGACATCGAATGAATAACAATGTTGGTCAACTAAATACTGTTTGCATCTGCTCCAGGAGAAAGAAGAAGCATCACGTTGATGCACATGGCCGTACGCTGAACTAAGTGAAGTGGACAAGAGGTGGTTCTTCGTCAGCTCAGCAGAAAAAGCAAAAATTACAGCTTACCAGTCAATCGGCAAATCTTTGTTGAAAAAAGAAAACCCAAAACAAAACAAAACAAAAACCGTATTATCAATACCACTGCTAGAGATGACATGGCCCTGATATGTCACTAAAAAATTTAGCTAGCATTGGTAACTGGTATTGGGAGAACATTCTTCTATAGGATATGACTGTTTTTAAAGCTTGTATAATAAAAGATTATCGCACTCAGTGGTCAACGCAATATTTATAAACTTGAGCGATAAAACCTCAGAGTCAGCATTTTCAGGCGTTCTATATTACCAAGAAGGCGCGTTATGCGCCGATCGATTCAAAGCTTCTACATCCCCCTGGGGACAACCCACGGGCATTTGGCTGTTGTAGGTACCCCGTGGATGGGGGATTGGAGCCTTTCCTGGGTGGGGTGGGGAATTTGAACCAACGGAGTACACAAGGAGTTTAAAAGTAAAGAGTTCGCTTTCGTATGCAAATGAGTCAGAGTAAAATTAAGGCATCGTAGAATGATGCTTAACAGCGAAAAACCAAACAGCGCCACCGAAATCTTTACTGAATTCCACAACATTTCTTGATCACACTAAGAGTTGTTTTATTAAAAAAATTGCGATCAGGTAGGGCATTTAAACGCAATTTCCTCTCGGGTTGGGGGGGGGGGAGGGGGAATTCTTACGAATCAATCTTTAAAATTTCAAATGCCCGAATTGACCGACGCACCGTTTTTGTAATTTATCAAAGAAGTAAAAATAAAACACATCATAGAAAAGTAGTATCAAACAAGTTTATTACTTTTCCTATCAATAAAATTCATCAAAAGTCATTAGTCATCTGGCTGCGATTAGCATCATTACTCGGTGAGAGATTTGTCAATTATTCGGACGCCTCGAACCGTTGGCAGAGCCATTATTATTTGATTTCTTTTTTTTATTTCTTCAGTTCTGTTTGTTGTTCTTTTTTTTTTTGTTTGTTTGTTTCTTTTGCTTTGTTTTGTTTTGTTTTTCTTTGTTTGAATTTCATATCTGTATTTAAATTGTTGTGGATGCACGTAAATTAAGGTCTCGATCCAATGATCCATCAGTTTTTAGCTGAGATCGACCGCGAGTACATGTCATACAAGGAAAGCTTAATCTGCTCTTTGGATAGGTAATAACAGAATACACGACAAAGACTTTCTTATAACGATACGTTTACGAAGAATAAGACTTTCTTACGACTATGCTTGTGCGAAGAACAAGAGACCCACTGGTAGAAACGAAAATATAACTTTATCAATATGAATATAAGAACGTTAAGAGAGCACTAAGAATTAAACAGAAGCGAACAATTTCCTCGTGCTGGCGTTCGAAAAGCCGTTAGGTAAAAATTATTCAACATCAATCTATAATCCCTAAATAACGCGCGGTAAAAAGTATTCTTTGTCTACATCGATCCCCGTCCACCTCGCCCACGTCCCCTAGGGCCTCCAGTTCTCCTGCTCCGGTCGCCTCGACCCCGGTTTCCTCTACCTTGATGACCCCCTCGTCTATTTCCTCTCCCCTCGTCAACTGACCGCTTATCAAACGTTCTACGACCGTTACTTTGCGAGTTTGTGGTTCCAGTTCCCTCCCGATGTGTCTTCTTGTGTGAAACAGTACACCATTCCGAACTCGTGCCGTTACCCTGTGTGTTGTCCCGATCGGTTACACCGGATGAAGGTGAGGTGCTACCAGAAGTGTTCATTTCACTTGTCATCCCTCTGTCATTATGTGCCCTAGTCTCCTCCTGTTGTGGGTTGAGTCTTGCAACCTCACTACTTTTCCTCGGCGGAGTCCGAATGGCACCTTCAGTAGCAACCAAGCGTTCCTTTATCGCTCTATCGTCCCGAACATATGAACTTCTACCCGCATACTTTGAATCGCTAACACTTCGCTGGTAGCTCTGGTCCCTGTGGCCACCTCCCCTTGCACCTCTGCCCCCTCCTCTTCTGCCCCTAGACGATTGATACTGCTGACTGGATTGTTGTTTAGATCCCCGGGTAAGGTCTGAGGGAGAGGAAGAGGAGCGTGGCTTAGGGTTTCCATCTGATATCCAGCTTGCGTCCCAGTTGGAGGGGTTTCCTTAAAATAGCAACAACAATAAAGATGACAATGACAATAGCAATAACAGCGGTTATCGTAACCATAATGGCGGTGGCTGTTATCATGGCAATGACGGCAGGAAAGGTTATGCTGAAGATGAAACTGAAGTGACAGGGACGGTGGGAGTGAAAAAGACAGTGACAGTAAAAGTGGTAAAAACAAATTTTCAGTTAAAAAAAAAAAAACAAACAAACAAACATTGAGGACAAAGAAAAAACAACATGAACAGCCGCACTGAGCACTATAAATAACACTATAAATACCACTCAACAAAAGCCTTATTTCCCGCTAAAAAGTGTAAGCACCACTAACCTTTAAAAGATTTAGAGCTGGCGGGAGCACTCCAAGGAGAAATATTTGTAGGACTTTTTGTTGTCGGTGTTGTAGCAGATGGGACCACCCTTGTGGGTGTTCTTTTTTCAGGTGTTGAAGGGCCACTAAACGCCACTTTCTGTGCCCACGTCACTGGAAATGGCTCTTGCTTACTACGAACCGCGTTTAAAAGGGGAGGAGGGGGATTGGAGAAGGACGACCGCCTTGAACCTGAAGCCTTGGGAAATGAAACAAGGAATTAATTTATGAGAAAAACGTAACCTTTCATAGTGGAATGTGCATCTTATCAATGATTGTGTGGTAAGGTGGGCGTATTACTGTAAAATGTAGGGGTCATAACCAAGAATGAAAACTCCAAAACGGGTTGATTTTTGGTAGAAATGCCACACTCCTGTTTGCTTAGGTCAGTCTATGACTGCTATTGATTGAACACGATGAGGTTTCTCTGCAGCTTGTCTCACCCTAACTTCGTTATGGGATTTGACTGCTATTACTTCTACTCTGAATTGCCTTCAGTCTCCATTTTTGTATCAGTGTGGATAACACTACATGTAGTCAGTGCGAACCCTGATTTTGGAGCATCCATCATAGCTATGACCGTATGTTTGCACGGGCTATCAAGATCATAACCTCCATTATCTCCAGCCCTATATGTTGATGATCCTTTGGCAATGTTAAAAATCTACAACATCTTAGTAAACCTGTTTGGTTGCAGTTCATTCTTTAAAATGGTACAAAGCTGACTTGACTCGTCGATAGACTGGAGCTCCCACACCAGGAATAATGCTGACCGTATCACTATCACGGATTGTCAACGACAAACAAACCTTACACCAGATGGGTGGGGAGGAAACCTGTTTGCATTTACCTTGGTTACACAAGGAGATCCGGGTGGGGTAGGGGATTGAGATAAAGACCCGTCCAGGCGGCTGTTCCCTCTTGCACTGGATCCCGTTGACTGCTTCAGCGTTAAATGAACAGTTTTTGTAATCGTCGAGCCGCTCTCCTGAAGCAGGACTGTGTGCACATGCTTGGTACTTCTGGGCTTTTTGACATTATTCTGAGAATAACATAAAATAGAAAGATTACATGTTACTCGCAAACAAGTTGTTTCTTTTTCTTTTTTTGCTCAAGAAGAACGCGTTTGATGCGACATACCTCATAATTCACCGTGCATTCCACGACCGGTGCCGCACCGGGAGTGCTGGTCTGCCAGCTGCTCATAACGTAAGGCGGCTGTAAGACAAACGGCAAGTTAATAAGTAACTCCTAAAATAAATTTATTTTGTTTACTTCCTTCGGCCACCACGCCAAGCATTATTTTCACAAAAGTAATCTACCTACCACTCCAAATTATAAAAATTGCGGACAATAAAAAGTCACATGTTCGTCAGTGAGCATAGGCGACGTGAATGACGGGTGTCCGTGAAATAAGTTCGAATTCACTTTAATCTTTATTCACAATATTACAATCTAAATTTCAACACTTAAAAAATTATTGCGACAACTTTGAATGACGGGCGACCATAAAATAATTTCCGTCCGTGAAATAAGTCCGAATTCGCCTTAATAATCATTCACAATATTACAATCTAATTTACAATGCTAAAAAAAATTATTGCGATAACTTTTGAATGACGGGCGACCATGAAATAATTTCCGTCCGTGAAATAAGTCCAAATTCGCTTTAAACTTCATCCACAAGTTTACAATCCAATTCACAACACTGAAAAATGATTGCGACAACTTTAAGATCATACCTGGCTCAGTGTTTTGATCTCACTTGTGTGTTTGAAAAAAAAGGTGACATTCTAAAAGAGAGAAAAAAGGTCAGATGAAAAGAACTGAATTCGTCGCTGTTCTTCGAGGAAGATGTGGAAAAAGCGTAGCGGAAACAAACCAGCGGAAATATTGAAAACTTGTTCCCACCTTCACCAGAAGGAGAGCTGTCTCGTCTCCATCAACTTCCACGAACATCTTCCATTTGTGCTCCTGTTAGAGGGGAATAAAATTTAGTTGAAATATCGTGCCTTCTTCAGCAATGGATAAATTTATGTCCGGTTGTTTTGCGTTTAATAATGGACAAAAATGTCAAATTTCGTTTCCTAATGCTTTGATTAGAATGAGTGTACCTGACCCGTTCATTCCCAAGATGTCAGTAAAAATTCTCCTTTTTGTCTGCCAGACAATTCTCATGATGTAAGCATGGAGAATTGAGTATTAGACCAAGTGATAATCCCCCCATTGATAATTTTCTTGATTATCATCACTTGGCTGCTTGATATTGTAAGGAGAAATTCTTCCTTGGTCACTCAAGAGAGTTCAAGGGTCAAACTATTCTTGCGACAGTTTACATGCACGTCTCATGAGGGCCGCGACGCTTAGTTGTAGAAATATCATCCTCAGTTTAAAATTCATTCGCATTTTGCCTTTGAAATCAAGAAAGTTAAAATTAATATCATCTATAATTTTCGATAATCACGTTTCACGGCTGCATCAATCAAATCGCCCTTATTAGATAAGCACCGTTCCAGATGATTGATCTCCTTTGCTCTCTATAACAGCGGCTTCAAATCCAAATTGAAGGCTTGAGTACAATCGCATGGAACAAAATTTTATCCAAGAAAGAATCTATACTAGGGCACTCACCTGTGAGGATTTCTCCATTCTACAATGATTACCGAATAAGAGAATGAGAGTTTGCTGTTGGGGTTGACTGCTTGCATAGCCATTTGTTGTAACATCATCCTGAATGTAAGGTGATAGAGTTAATATCGACTGAATCAAAACTTATTAAAAGTAATTCCATAAGCCAATAGGAATAGAGAAGAATATCGCAAGGAGCCAATGAGAACTCGAGGTAAAAACAGGTTTCCAGCCAAAAGCGCGGGAAAACGCGAGTGACCAGGTCACAGTTGGTTTTAATTTTGCAACTGATGAGTGGAGAGAGTGGCGCGAGTGTTTTTTTAGACCAATCGCGGAGCGAAGAAAAGAAAAACTTACGAAGTGCTTCGATACACAATTGGAAATTCCTCTGTGGCTTGTTAGACATGCATCACACACAAACTTGCTAGGCTCTAACTGCCCTAAAGTGCCACGAACTGACTCAAAAATGGCCATGGTCTAAGACGTTTATGAAAAAAGGGAACTTTGGAAGTTGTATTTATAATAATAACAAAGCAGAAAAAAATCAAACAGAAAAAACAAACAGAAACAACTCTGCCTTAAACATGTACCATGGGTCGAAGAGGAGGAAAGTGCATCATTGACTCGCTCGCAGACCTCAAATGAACAATTTGCTCCTGCAAATAGAAATAAAACAAAGACAAAGAATCTTGTTTTTCTTGATGATTGAAAGTAAAATACTCCGTAATCCGTTACTGATTGACAATCTTCTTACACATGAGTTTGTAACTGTTAAAAAAAAAAACAATTTTCAATGAAATCTTTCGCACTCGTCGCTTAGCAGTAAACTCCGCCAAACCGTTTGGCAGTGCAGCTTAAAATATCATAGAGTAATCCTTCTTAAAAGATCTCACAAAAAACCTTTCTTTGTCGTTCCTTTGACGTTCTATAAATATCCTTCTAGAATTTTTACCGTCGCCTTCCAGAAATCTTTCCACCACACTGTAAAGGTCATTCAGGTTGTCATGGAAACTTAATTTTAGCTAAAAAAGCATTTCGAAGTTGACTTAGATGCCTCGTGATGACCAATCAAATTTCACAAATTCCTTAGCTTGAAATAAAGCACATATTTACCATCAACTCAATCCTGTGACCTAAGGATTCTATTCCAAGAGTTACCAACTGCTCGTCTGTGAGCACAATGAGCCTGCGCGATAAAAAAAAAAAATTTATACCCACGATTGCTAATTTAATGCTATACACGAACGACTTCCAGCTGTATCCTTAGGTATAATCATTAAAAAATGAATCATTTTCCGTGAATGCAATTTTGAACGACATTCTTGCCTTAAAATGATTGAACTGCATAGTTTGAAGCTTGCGTGGAATCATGAATACGGATTGTTAACTGGGTGAGTGGATGATTGAACTGACTGACTGCTTGAAAATCTGAGTCACGCACAGATTGACGGACTGACGGACTGACTAATTGACTGTCTGTTTAACTGATTGACTGATAGAATAACTGACTGACATACAAACTGTCACAATAACTGAAATAATATTGATTTTATTTAGACTAACTGACAGACGGATTGACTGTTTGTTTGAATGATTGATGGACAAACTATAACTAACTGACAGGGTAATTTAGTATTATCAACCAAGTTGATTAACTGTAAGACTGACTTTCTGATTGACTAACTGCCTGACTGAATCACTGAATAAATGACTGACTTTCTGTTTGACTTACTGTCTGACTAACTGAGTGACTGACTTTCTGATTGACTGGCTGCCTAAGTGACTGACTGACTGATTAATTTCCTTATTGACTATCTGACTAAAATAACACCCACTCAGTGACTAACAAACTTCATAGTATACATTAAATTTAATTTTGCGTTTCTGACCAAACTTCCTCACCAAAAATCTGCCTTCTACCAAATCCATGCACTACCACCATATCTATTTCGAAATACAACAAAGCACATATCAGCTAGGGGGAATGCAAACTAATATTATTTAAAATTTCAAATAGAACAACTCAAATGGGCACAAATGGATAGATAGAACAAGCACGTTCCCTCTAGAATTGAATGAAAAACTAACCTTCTCCCAGTAATATGATTATCTTGGAACAGTGGTAAATACGTCACAAGGTCTTTATGCCCACCTGTAAACAGATTAAGAAAATTTAGCTAACAAGGCTTAGCATTCTGTATTAGCCCTTCAACCCCTAAGAGTGACTGGCATCTAATTTCTCCTTATAACATCAGCCCTGAATCAAACATTAAGGTCATGAGAATAAGGGAAATGATCAACAACTAAAGAACTCTTGACTGTTAAACAACTTCTCCTTTTCAGACCCTTAAGAAATGTATAGAGAACAGTATGGAGAAGATGCATACTGATGTTAGCCAGGGTGTAAAGGGTTAGATGCAAATTGAAACTTTTACAAAATAAGAGCATTAAAAAATGTAAAGTAAACAATATGCATATAAACGATGATTTGGTTTTATCAACTGAGTTGATAAAATAAATGTAAATTTGCCACTGTAAAAATGTCTTAAGCTGACACTTCAATCGTTAGCCCTTTTGTCAGAGCGACGATGGCTTTCAGCTTTAGAAACTGTTTACGGTAGTCAATTTACATCATTACTTCAGGTTACAAAAAAATTGTAACCACCCATTACCAATGCAGAACCACAATTTCTTTCAGCTTTAGAAACTGTTTACAGTAGCCAATTTACATCATTAACTCAGGTTATAAAAAAAAATTATAACCACCCGTTACCAATGCAACCACAATTTCTTTACAAACTTCCCTAGTATCTATTTAGGAGAGGCTGACTTAGACTGTGCCACACAAAGGTCAAATGAATGGTAGTATAGTCCTAATCACCAAGCTCCCCTCATTTGTGAATACTTCTAGCTACATATTTCATGGTTTTCTGTAGAGCTATTTTTTTTAATCTGCAACATTGTACAAGTAATTTCTGCTGGTCACTTACTGTTCTGTGCAACTTGCTGCAGCCATAAACACTGAAATATATCACACAGGATTAATCATTCAACACATAAAAAGAAAAAGCATAGAATGAAGTTAAAAGACAGCAAACAAAATTACCACATCATTCTCTGTCCAGGCATTAACATCATGTTTGTCCAGAACCTGAAGGGAAATAGAGACAATGTTTTAGGTAGGCATTAAGTGTTGTTGAATGGAAGAGGAGGTAGCTTTTTGGGAAAAAAATGCTTAACTCTTGAAAGGAAAATCCTGGTTTTAGCAAGACCCCACTTAATAGCAGTGCCTCTCTTCACAAGGAAGTAGAAAAGGACTTTTTGATGGACTAGCATATCACCCAGGAGAGTGGTGATACACTAAGTAATTTCATGAAGCAGATATTAAGTTACATTGCGGCAGCTATGTGAGTCAGCCCCCAGCAGGTCCACAATCCAAAAAAAATGTGCATTATAAAATTATGCCCTGTACAAGAATTGCTGTGTTTACTTCAATAGGCTGATATGAAAGACATTACATGTCTATGTCTGGTATTCAGCCGTCACAGTCCAAAAACCAACAAACAAATAACAGCAAAAACAACAGCAACAACATCAACAGCAAAATGAAACAAAAACAATCATAAAATCAGATAACTAAGGCCCTGGTAAAGACATCCAGTCTTCTCTGTGAAAGGAATGATTTACCAAAAAACATTACAACAACAACAACATTAACTATCAAAGTAAATTTGAATGATTTTCTAACTGACTAATTCAAGAAAAAAACTAGACTAAGTCCAGTCTTGAATGATGTACTTTACAATTATGTTTTCATCAATCAGCAAATCATATTTCACTTTAATTCCATGTGTATTAATGTGAAACATGACTATGATGCAGAAAATACACACACTAATAATACTGATTCATTACATACCTTAGAAATAGACTGCAGCTCATTAATTTTCTTTTCTTTTTGTTGTACACGTACTTCTCTCTAAACAGGGAAAAACAGCCACTAAGTGTTCAATGCATTCAGCACAGCAAGATTGGCCAGGGCCCATATTTACTGGTCTTCAACTCCTCACAGAAGACTCACATTTCTTCATCACACGATGAAGAAAAAAGTTAAAAATCTTATCCTAAATTAACAAGATGCAGTTCAGTACGATAAGCACTTTGCCAACAATAACCACAAAATATCTGCAAATTGACAACTTTCCATTTGAAATAAAACCAAAATTGGTCTTAATTCCTGAGTTGTATTGTACAGTAAGTGTGTATCGAGAATTTATCTCCTGTTCATGAACAGTCAGCGGGTGTAAGGTGACACAGCAAAATAATTCCATACCTCACGCAGTTCTTTCTCCTTATTTGTTAAATCTCTCTCTAACCTCTTGAGCCTACTCAACGTAGCATCTATTTCATTACTGAAAATTAAGTAAATTAACAACAAAACATTAGTAAAGAATAATTATTAATGAGCTTAACCCTTTAACTCCCAGAAGTGATTATCATGAAACCTCTCCCAATAATATCTATACATCATCCAGAAACAAGCAAAACAGAATACCCAAACTTATCAGGAAGAAATTGATATCTTGATCTAATACCAAATTCACCAAACCTTTTGGCCAGGATTTGTGTAAAAGCTGGAGGGGAGAATTAAAAATCAGATCTTCGAAGTTAAAGGGTTAAGATCTACAGTGCAAACACCAAAAGCTCCTTACAGCTGTAGCTGAGGAAAAATTGAAACAACCCCCCATCCTTGTTCATTTAAACAATTAGCTAGTCGACATTGTTGAAATTTTTTACAGAGTTCTCTCTGTAATCAATAGGGATCCTGCCAAACCAACAAAAAGGTATTTATTAACAGACAGAAATGTCTCTGAATATTTGATTAACCTACCTCCAATTCTTTTTCTGTTCAATGAAGGAGTCAGTTTCCTGTTGTAGAGAAGCTGGAAAAAAGATAAAAATGACATAATACAAAACAATATCATAAGAATGCTGTAACAAAAGGTACTGAGCGTTTCTGATGATAACCCCCAAATGGTTTCTCTCCTTACTGTGCCAAAGACTTTCACTTATCACTTTTAGGTCATTGTCCCAAACATGTTTGTCATAGGTTGGTGATAGGTATCTAACATTAAAATCTAATTTGATTTTACTTGTTCGTGTACAATTGCATGCAATACTTAGTTATTAATACTATAATTGTACCTACCATCTCCACTCATGGATTTGAGTTCTGACAGAATCTCATTAAAATTTGGACGTTCCTGTCAAAAGGAAAAAGTAATAATTTCAGCAAATTAACCATAGAGTGCAATACATGTGAAACTGGAGGCTGATGCATGGATATCACAGATGCTACAATCAAAATCTCCCTTAAAAGAGTACTGCCATAGGACACATTTACAATTAAGTCCCCACCACCCTCTCCTAAAGCAACTTCCCCCCCCCTCCTTCTCCAAATGAAAATACTGTTAGTAATCAATATATATAACCATACTTATTGGTGAAGACAGTCAATTTTTTAATAAGGTTAAATTAAACCTTTTGACTTCAAATGCTGATAGAGAAGGATTTTGCTCTTCATTTCTGTAGAAATCAAGGCAGTCCCTTTTCAAGGCACCATTAATTCCTTCACTGGTTCTTCCTCTATTTCTTCATTAGTTTGTATGAGGGTAACTGACTTCAAAACATCAACTCTAAGATTTCTACAAATGCTTTGGCCACTGACTAAAGGATTGTATTCCTTGATAATACTCCAAACCATAAATAGAACCAAACATATATTTATCACCCATAATCAAATGATTCAGAACTACTAAGGATTAGTCATGACTACCTTTGGTTCCGTCAGCCAACACTTTTTCATCAGCTTTGCAAACTTTTCAGGGCAGCTGCTTGGAATGGTCAACCTCTGGAAGATGAAGAAATCAATTACACTGTACAGATGACACATTTTTAAAACTTACACAACATCAAATTTGCACCTCAGAATAATTCAAAAAGTAAAAAGGAAAGCATATTTAAACCTAAAATACCATGTTCTTTGGAAAATAATTTGCAATGAAAATGAACCACACTTGACAAGTTCAGTACTGTCATAGCTTTCGTTATCATCATTATCATAATAAGTGGTTTTTGTAATATCCTGAAGAGCATACCAAGTATCTGTTGTCTAATTATTTCTTTATTATTCATTTATTAAAACAACCAGATCACATTATCACCAGCAAAGGCATTTATTTACAGGGAGCAGTCTGAGGCTGAATCTTAACTGCGCGTCCTTCAGGGACAATAGCCTGTATGTTGATACCTACATCAACATGTATTTCTTTAACCCTTTGACTTCTAAGAGTGACTAGCATGTAATTTCTCCCAACAATATCACTCCTGAATCACACATTAAGGTCATGAGAATAAGGGAAATGATCACCAACTAAAGAGGCTCTTGATTGTTTAACATATTCTCCTTGTCAACATCTTAGGAAATGTAAAAATTTCAGTATGGAGAAATTGCATACTGATATTAGGGAGCAAAAGGTTAAATTTCAAAATGTTTTTTGGATTTACAAAATCTCTTTCATTTACCTCTTCCTCTTGCACAACCACCCATGCTACTTGGACACCAAGAAGTCCTTTAAATGGTACTTCTTGGGTAAGCATTTCCCATAGCACCTAAAATAATTAAAAACAAGGTTCATTCAAACTCACATAATGAGTCCAGTCAAAAACCAATTCCCATACTGGAGTAGCTCACATAATTATGTGCAATTGTAAGCCAGCTTCTCTGGAATACAGAATAATAAACTTTACTACACGTATATCAATAATCTGGAATGTGCACCATGATTCACTCACCACAGCATAAGAAAATGTATCAGAGGCTTCTGATATTGGCAGGCTTTGAATAACCTGAGTATACAACAAATAAGTCTAAATTTATTATTTGTCTGAATATGTGTATATGCAATAAACTCAAACTGAAACCTGGCTCTAATTGATAGCTGAAAGCTACAGTGAAGTGACATTCAACCCTTTTAAATGCAAGTGTAACCAAAAAGGAACTTCTGCTAGCAATAACTGACACTGAAAGGTGAAGAGAAGAAAAAAAAAATGATAAGTAGGTTCTTCTTACCTCAGGAGCCATCCATGGGTATGTCCCCACCAGAGACATTTTAGTTGTGTTATTAAGGAATCTTGAAGTGCCAAAATCACAGATCTGTAACATTTCAATAACAGATCTGTAACATTTCTTACATATTTAGCGAAATTGCAGTTTGGAGCCATTGTCCTTAATTACATGACTTGTGCACATGTACATCTAATATCATATCAAATTATATGACTGTTTATGTTACCTAAACAGTCATATATAAATATATGAACTTTGAGAAAATAAGAACATCCTGCTTGCTATCAGGATTTACATGTAAATATCAACATGTTACTTCTATGCAATGGAAATGAGGAAGGTATATGTCCATGTACATGAATGTTTTAAGGCAGGTGATATATTAAAAGTAGAATACATGTACAAATTCTCAAAGTGCCCAGTCATGTCATTCATGTTATAAAACATGCTCAGGATACACACTATTCTTAAAGGTACAATTGTTGAGTATGATTCATGAATCTTGCTGTATTGTACACCATAATACATCCACACTTACTTTGACTGTCAAGTCAGAGCAAATCACCACTGCAAAACAAAACAGTTAAGGTAAAGTGAGTTTAAACAGCTTTAAATTGTAAATGGAAAGTTACTTAATAATATCTAAGCTAACTAAAGGTTTTACCGGTAATTATTTTCCTGATGATAATAATTACTACTACATTCCTTATTCTCCAAGATCAATCATTAACAATGTATTTTACCACACCCAATATAATAATATTATCAATTGACAGATATCATTCAAATTTGAACTCAGACTTTCTTCCAAGGGCTAAAAGGACATCTGACTCAAGATCAGGAAACATCAATTGAAATAAATAATGTGCAACATATATATATATATATATATATATATATATATATATATATAATCTTTTGAAATTGTTAAGTAGTAACTCTAAATAACTTTGAAACATTTCACCTTAGTGTAAAATTTAAGATAATCTAGTTTGATTGTGGTATTGCAATTTCAAGCTTTCATTATCCACTGACATCAATCTCATTTTTACAGGTATTTCAGTACCAACTCACTGTTTCTTGAGCCTAGTTCATAAGGCTGTTGATTGAGCAAGATCAAATATTTTGAAATATTTACCATTTTTTGACTTCAGATCTCTGTGAATCACCTTCACTGGGGCTTCATTGTGGAGGTAATTGATACCTGTAAATATATGAGGAACAATAAAAATGATTGGTGTTTATTAACATATTGAATATTATACATGTACCATACACAATATGTATTATTTGTTATTAGTAGTTTTAAATAATAAATCCCTGATAGAAATTTGTGACCAGATAACTATATAACTGCGTTTCTTTGACCTATTATCTGTCACAACTTATATCATCTTAAAAAGTGCCTGGTGGTTCATAGAGATACTTTGATGTGTTCTCTCAAAGAGATTGAAGTGTCTTTGCCAAGAACATGTCACACAATGATCCTATCCCCTTCTCCGCTGAGTCTAACAAGCTACCTGTTGTGCTATTACATATCCCACCCTGGTTGATACATGCTTGAGAAAATTGGGTAATTGGTCAATGCCACCGACATGATTCTGTGTTATATACAAATTTTTGAAAATAACTTTCATTGTACACAGAAACCCCTTTCAATTAGAATTAACTTTTGCTTACCAAGAGCAATCTCAGTGGACCATTGTAGAATCTGGTCAAAATTAAGCTTATTGTTTGTGAGATGATCATACAAACATCCATTGGCAGCATATTCTGAAAAATGGAATAACATAGACAACACTAATACATTACTTATATATAAGACTTTGGGGTTTCCTGCGGTGATTAGCATTCTTGTGAATACTTCATAGTGAATACACTATCAGACAAATGATGAGACTTAATAAGCTATTTTACAGTTGTGTACTTAGTTGCCAAGCTTTTGATTTGGAGTGAGGCTGAAGGTGACCTTGTTGTGATAGAGACCAGTATCTTGTTAGCATGATAAAAAAGTAATTTACATTTGAAAAGCAGCAAGGTTTGTGTCATAACAAGATCAACCTTAGCCTTACTCCTGTTCAAAGGCTTGGCAACCAAGTACACAACTGTAAAATGGACTATTATCTTTAGCATCCCGAATTGGAATTTGAAATTATGAGAAACTTGCGAGATAAATAAGGAATTAAAGTTCTTTTGGAGATCAGCTACTGTCTGTACCTTTAATCAACACATATTGAAGCCTTTTTTTTTTATCATAATCAGGGTTAAAATGGATGTTGTTGCTATTATAAAATCCTATACCTAGCCTTGTACATGCTTAGGCTTATAATACATATAGCTGCCTCACAAATATTATATTATAATCACCCATTTTCAATCCCAAACCTTGCTTGCACCAGTAAATCTTAATTGGAAAGTATTCCCAGAACACTGAAATTTGAAGAGCACTCACATCGAAACAACAAAAAAGTGGGAGTAATTATTAGTGCCAAAGGCGCGAGCTTCTAGGGGGGTCAGGGGGCATGCCCCCGGGAAATTTTGCAAATTTAGGTTCTCTCAAGTGCCATTTCCTGAATTTTGACATCATTCCGGCCTGAGTTATAACATACCATAATGCTCTTTGCGAAGAAAGTAAGTATAATATGAGTGTTTCACAGTGACAGATCGCCAAAAATTCTAAAGATTAGCAATTTTCCCCTAGTTTTCAGAATTTTATGATAAATCGGGAGAATTTGGTAAAAATCGGGAGAGCGGGAGGCAAGACATCAAATCGGGAGACTCCCGATCAAAAATTTTTTTACAAACAAGTCGTGGGCTTCAATTTTGGGTAAACAATGTCATCATGCAGACACATTAGAGTTAATTAAGCTGCTCACCTGTCACAAGGCAAAAATTAGGCTGAGAATTTACTGCTCCATAAAACTTGATGATATGCTTGTGACTGAGCATGCTCAGAATACTGGCCTGAAACACACGCCATAATAAATTTAAGTGCGTATATAAACATCTTGAAGATGACAGCTTATATTACTGAGAGGAAGATTCTCAAAGTTCAATACTTGGACTACCCTTGACTGAAGTTAAGCATTAATTTCAAGTAGCAATGTTACAAAACCTCAGCACTGAGTTGGAGTCTTTCAGAAAAAACAACAACGAAATGCAAGCCGAATACAATCACACGGCAACATGTATCATTCAACCAAATCTCTACATGGAGGTCTTTGCGATAATTGAGCTAGATTGAGACAAGGTGATTTTTCTTTTGACATACTTACATGTAAGTAAAAAGCTAAGAAGCCCTTAAGTACATGTTGAGTGAGATCTTAGCATGTAAATGTTCTCTCGTCAAAAGCGCTAAAAACTTAATTGCAATTCATATAGAATTATGCATCTCAAAACAGCATCCGTCAGTTAAAAGATCAACCCAATTCTAAATAAATCAACATGTGTTACAGTGACTTGTAAGCTTCGACACCTACATGCTTTAAGATCACGAAGCCATGTGTTTGGGACGGACAACACAACTGTGAATTGTAACCCTCAACAATATTAAATTACATCGTTGCTGTAAAGCGAGTGAGTACAATTAAAAAACATTGTCGATCTCACAGGTAAACACACATTTATGGTTTAAAAGATGGCTTAAAATTGAAAATAGCGTGAACTTTCCAAGAGCGGGGTGATAAAATTAGAACACAGGTGAGATTTACCTCAGTGAAATGCACATGCCTTTCAAAGGCATGTAATTTGTGAGAAGTCTAAAAAAATTTGATTTAAGTCTGGTCCAAATGTCTAGTTTCCTAACAAAAGATTATGCGTTTAGACTTGACTGACAAAGGGTCATGCAACTTCCTACCGCGTGTAACCATTTGATTACAACTTGCCTCTTTTCCTAGACTCAAGATTTTCTTCACCGCTACCTCTTTATCTTGCGATTTCCACCTCGCTCTATAGACAGAGCCAAACGCACCTCCACCGCATTTCTCGAAGAATTCGAGATCTTCAAAATCAATCTGGACATAGGCCATGGTTGACGTTTTTGGACTACATCTCCAAGCTAAAAAAAGGCTACGGATCTTTCTGCCGTGCGCTAACTAGAACGTGTTTCAGATAACTTGAGAGGGAACTCGTTCGAAACTGGTCAGCAGTAAAGACTAGGAAGAAATTTCTGACGTCACGAAAGTTGTCAGTTCATGACCGTGAAAGACTGGAAACCAAGATTCCCAGGCGCGAACTTCAAGAAATGGCGCCTCGTAATATTCCTGATTGTTGTATCTCTCAGTTTTTAGTAAAGTTTTAGCGGTTTTCTGCTCATTAAGTCCTTTCGGTATAGAAGCAAAGATGTCTTTGATAGTGAAAGATGTTTTAGATGCCCTTCAACAGATGCAAAAGAGTCTGGAGTGTTCGATTTGGTATGAATGCATTTAGCGTCTCCTAAACTTATGCAACATTTGTCTTTTGCGATTTACCTAAATGTTTTGAGGTCTAAAAGAGTAAGTTGTTCATTTTATCTCGTTGAATTCTTCATAATATTACAAAATTACTTCTTAATAGCCTTGAATTGTTGAAGGATCCTCACTCAACGAAATGTAATCACCAATTTTGTGGGTAAGTTACGATGCGTATACATGTAAGCTTTATACAAGTTTGTCAACAAGTACAATAAGTTGCTCATTTTGGATTTCCATTTTCTTTTTACACGATATTTAAATAAAGTTCCATTTCACACATTGTGTCCTCCTTCTCCACATCTTTTCTTGCTTGAAAGACCTTAGTGCAAGTATTGTGTAAGACACTGTTTACAGTTACAGTCTATAATTTTTTTCTAAGTTACATGTACTGTTCTTACTGTCCTTTAGGAAGACAACTTGCCAAAATACTTATTCCTCAGGGTATATCTCACTTAAATCTGTCACTGGAGAAGCCCCAGAAGATCCATGTATTTGAACAAAAATTTGGAAACAGCCTTATTTATTGATTAATTTTTTTTTATTTATTTAGTGTTTTTTTCCTTCCACTGGGCCATCTGGCTCTAGTGTGGAGGGTGATTTTAGGGGGCTTTTGGCTGGGTTGAGGGTTGTGCAAACCAGCCAGGAGTTCTAGCACCTTGGAGTGTGACTGTAGAGCAAGAGCCCCCCCTAGCCTCGATTTGCGACTTCAATATGAAAGCTAATTTTGCAATCAACCTGTTACATGTTATCTACATCAAATTTTAATTGGTCGTCTTCAGAGATAGAGCAGTTGTTGCTGGATGAGTGCAATACTTCCACAAGCTGATTTTGTTGTCACTGATAAAAAAAATAGATGAGTATTAAATAACTGTTTTTGTGGCTAGCCGAAGCTTGTTTAATATTTTTTTTGTTAAAAATTACAGTCATTGCATCAAGCAAGTTCTTGAAAAGAGCAGTAAGAAGTCAAAATACAAATGGTATTGCCCACTCTGCAAGACTCCAGTTTCTAAAAGGTATATTGATATCCTTTCTTTGTTGTTTACTCTTTAATTAAACTAGATTGAATCTTTGTTCTTCGTTACATTTACAAGAATACCCTTTGAATGTCTATGTATGGATGAATTGAAAAAAAGAACAGCTTTGTTAAATAAGTAAACAACCATCACAGGCTTTTAATCCATTTAAAAAATGGAATACAAAGCAAAACAAAGAACTTTTGGTACACATTTTTTCCCCTGTGTAGGGAGCTGGGTTGGTTGAAATCACATCAACAGTGATGTTTTAGTAAAAGCATTGAACAGAATTGTAGTGATACATTTTGGTTGCAATAGGGCTAATTGAGCTTTGAAACTTTTTGCACAATGCACATGCAAATGCCACAGGAAATTAGGACATTCTTATTTTATTATTTACAAAAATGAATTAAGAGTTTTTCATTTTTCTCTTTTTCCTTGCTGTGTGTAGGAGCCTTACACCAAACCCTAGACTGAATGAAATTGCTGCTGCAGTGCGTAATTTACAGGGAGCTATTCAAGAAGATACAGGGATTCCAACAGGTAAGAGCTGCAGCATGTCAAACTGACTACCTCATCCATTAGGAAGTGCTCTTTCCAAGAGGAATATTTGTGGGTATTCAGGGCAATTACTCTGGGTCTGCAAGAGGGGTTTCTTCTTCATGATCCTTGGGAAGTTTCTACAATGGAACTTTCATGAAATCAAATGCTAAATTCCTTTCAAGATTCTCAATGATTAGGGATCTTGACAAGAATCTTTAAAATCTGTGTAAATTATTTTTGACTAATTGGCAGCATTTTGATATACAACTATTGTTCCTTTACACTGTATTGTGCCATTACATACACATGTAGTGTTTGTTTTGTTTCAGGCTCACCACCTTCACAGCCACTCAAGCCACTTATTACAGTTTATGATAAAGGAAGTGTTGATCCAGATTCTATTCATTGTCCAACCCCACAAAAATGTGTCAGCAAATGCAAAAATGTAGGGCAGAAAGTTTCCAGAAGGAAGAATCCTTTCAGCATATATGTTGATGACAATGGTTTGTGTTTCATCCTTCATTCCAAAATTTGACTGTTATGAGAAAAATTGTGTAAAAGTTGGTTCATTTCACATGCTTTAACACCATACTTCAACATTAACCTTTTGACTCCCAGATCAAATTTGTAATTCTCCTTACTATCAATCATACAACTCATATAATGTTAATTCAGAGAATTTAATATTGGATCAACTAATTATCCCCAAATTGATGTTTTTCTTCATTCTCATCATTTATCTGGTTTATATTGTATTGATATTGCAAGGAGAAATTCTGTCTTGGTCACTCATGGGAGTTAAAGGATTAACCCTTCAATCTTAGAAGGGCTCATGCAATCCTATAGAAAACCTTAGTCAAAGCCAGACAGGTCATATGATAATGCACAGTATATCAGAAGAACAATATTTACATCTGAGGGAAAGATAGCTCTGGCCATCAAATTTAAACTACAGAATTTTGCATAGAAGCCAGATAATTCTCCAATGTCTGATGTATATAGAACACCTTTCCACATTTTCCTTGCTCCTAACATATTTCCTCACTGTTCAATTGGTAGTAATGTACAGTTAGTATCTGGGAAGCAAACTTTGGAATCCTGTCCAGGCCAAGTTTCTTTAGTCTTCTTTCTTTTGCAATTTCTGTAATGGCAGCTCACCTTAAAGAGTAATATTCAGTGGACTATTTACTACTGATTTAATTTAGTAATGATAAGATCCTTTAAGGGAGTGAAAAGCCTACAAGGCTTTGTCTTGCTCCCAACATGTGGCCTCATATATATGCATGTACATTGTAGCTCTGTTGGTGGTAGTATCTGGGAAGCCTGGGTTCAAATCCTGTTAAAGCCTGAATTTTTCCTGGCTTTAAACAGTACTTGAAATTTCTTCAATTACAGCTGACCTGTGTCTGTGAGGATCATTTTACCACTTTTCTTTATGAGTATTCCTATTTTAAACTATAGATGATGCTGACCATTCTCTGCAGAATAAAGAGCTTGAAGCTGTGTCTAATGTCAACATAAGGTGAGACTAAAAGTTAACTGTACAAGTTTAAACTGGTGAAAAGACATTTAATAAAACCTATGAACATGTGCAGTTACAATTTTGTTTTCTTTGTCAGTTAATGATTAATTACCCATAATTTGATTTTAAATTTAAAAAGGAAAGGATTGGAAAGAAATAAGTCTTTTGAGATGCAACTATGGTGTATGGGCATCAAGCATTTTTTCCTCGTGTTTGGTTTTTGTCTTTTTTTGCTTTTCTATTTGAATGTTATCATGTTCTCCACATGATTAGGTCAATGCTGGGACCAATATCAACACAAAAAGCAACAAACAGTGCAAAGTCAAAGAAGTCTTTCAACACAAGACAGACGAGAAGCTCCAGAAGAACAGCCCCAAAAAATCTCCTCGAGGAAAACACAAATGGAAACTCTGTCAATGAAGAGCTACTTCATATGATAGATACGTTGCCATTCCAACCACTTTTAAAAGCAGGTCAGAAAGTTTATCTATTTATATGTACACTTGTGCTTTAATTAATGTGTTTTTATCATTGTGAATATAGTTTTGTTTTTAATTGTTTTTGCTTTTGTTTTGTTTTTTTCTTCTCATTATGATGAGCAATGCAAGATTATCAAAATGAGCCAGTAACCAGCACATTATGCTGTCTACTCAATAAAACATGCTGGCTGCTCCAAATGCTTTTAGCTCCCAGAGCCCTTCGCTGTGGATAGACCTTAGACCTTTAGTGCCTCCTACTTTGTGTCATTGTCTAGTTACTCAAAATATTTTTGACAACCCCAGCCACGGCATTTTTAGTACTTATATAGTGTGTGCAGAGTGTGTGATTTAAGATCTTCATGTGCATATACACGTACACATCTATTGTGCTAATTCTGTGTTGAAATTCTAAGGTTCAACATCCCAGGCGGTAGATGGAGCTTCAATGGCAGGTGAAACTGAGAAGGATCATGCTATTACAACCAACCAAGGGTCATCCCAGTTAGTTGAATCTGAATGCCTCGTTAATTGTCAAACCATAGACTGTAAAGGGAGACGACAGATTGCTTCTGGACAGCCTAAACGCGCTGTGTGTTCAAAAACTGTTGCCGAGGCCGACTCCTCTATGAAGACAAGTCCTCGTGACAACTCAGTGTTCATTGAAAACAAGATTTCTCTTTCGCCAACCTTGGCACCAGTACCTGTAAAAGGAGATAACAATGGAGATGAAGGTGCAGTGTCCAGCACCAAGTGTGAGTGTTTTTCACCAAGTAGTTTAGATACTATGCAAAGTGTTTCTAATTTGCCATCGCAAGATTGTCTTGAACATCGATGTGAAGTAGTCGTGGGGGAAATCCAAGTAAGAAATCAAGAGGAAGCTTCTCCTAAAAGGGAAGAATTCTTATTGGAGGGTGTTAGCGAAAGCGAGGCTATCAAAATCGAGAGTTCTGCAAGAAATGCTCAAGAGGGACCGTTATTGACCTGCAAAAATAGACGAAATAACGATAATGTTTCACCTCAGTCTTTAAAGAAAGGGTTACAATCTGAAGGCCTTTCTAGTAGTTCCAAGAATCGTGCGCAGGGAAGTTTGGACTTTGAAGGTTTAGTTTCCTTGTTTGATGATCCTTTTATGAGTAAAGATGTAGTGGAACTATCAAAAGCGGATGAAAGTTCAAAACAACATCCAGATACCAGTCAACACGAAGAAGAGACGTTTTCATCCACCCGAGCAAGTTTTGCTGATTGTGAAGAATCACAGAATCAAGCAGCCGAATCTGATTTGTGCGAACGAGTTAAGAGGAGGCGAAGGCGTCGAACATCGGAGATTCCGTTGCCAACAAACAAACGTTCTGAAGCTTCAAAGAAATCTCTGCAGTTGAGACCCAAGACAAAAAAGAGATGTGCAGAATCTGCAGCTACTTTAACTAGCGACGATCAAAGGTTTTCTGAAAACACTCGCAAGAAGTTAAAACAAGTTGAGGATCCTTTGCTTAATAAGAAATCTTCTTTCAGAGACGAAACGAAGGAATTACAGAAAGATGAAGAAAATAGTGAAGAAATGCATGCTAATGGCATGATTTTGCTGTCGGTGAAGCATGATGAACAAGCTCAAGAATATTCCACATTCGGAAGTGATAGCAGCAAGACCGTGCTTTCAAGCGAGATTATTCAAGCCAGTGTTTCTTCCTCCGATATATCTCCTGCGACAGTCATCAATCCAATGATTGCCCATGTTGATCAAGGTGGAGAAAACCTGCTAAAAAGAAAGGAAACAGAAGGATCAAACTCGCAAAGAAACAAGGAAAACGATCAGAGTGAAGTCAGCAAACACAACAGCGTGATAGAGAGTGGACTGCGTGAGGATGAAAAGACTAGAGAGAGTCCTCAAATAAAACTGATTTTGGATAGAAATAAAGAAAATCAAGCAAACCACGAAACGCAAGACCAGGAAAGCGCATACAAGGAGGAAGAAACGGGAAACGAAAAGAGAAAACATCGTGAAGAAGAAGCAGACTGGAGTGGATCAAAACAAGAAGCATCAAAGAAACGTCATCAGCAGCCTCAATCCTTTTACTCAAAAGGGATGTCACTGACGGCAAGTGGTCACCAAGGGTTACCAGTCCAGAAAGAAGTGGAGGAACACGAGTCTGATTTGGTTAATACAACTGACTCCTCTAGATCATTACCAGAGCTAGAACTTAAACAGAAAGACCATTTGACGAGTTCTTTTACGTGGCATTCTCAGGAACACACTGCAACTGAAGTAAAAGAGACTGTGGACGGTTTTAATTGTAAATTTTTGGATGAGGCCCAACATTTAACATCTCAGAAATTAAGTCAGAAAGGGCAATTCTCAGGTGACACTCCAACACAAAGTTCATTAGAATTTTTGGATGCCATGACGCCATGTTTGTTTGGAAACGACGGCCTGGAAACGTCAGTCGGAGACCAAAACAGCCCTCATGAAACAACAGATTCCAGAACTCCTTCCTTCAGTGACGGCAAAACTGAAGAAGAGAACAGCTTGGATATGCAAAAAGATGGCTGCCTGAGAGGAATTTCTCGAGATAGTATCGGGGTCGAATATGGGAATGCTGAACGAGAGAAAGTCGTTGACTTGGCCCGTTGCCCTAATGGTATTGGGGAGGTAACGTCCAATACAGACGAAACTCAGAGCTATGAGACGAGTCAAAGCATATCGGTTCTTCATGGTTTGGAATTTCCGCCACATGATCAATCCCAAGATAGTACTAACTGCAGCGAAAACATACCAGACCTTGGCAGATCTTCAGAGCATTTCCAAAAGCAATCTGAAGACGATGCCCCAAGGACGGAACCGCCTCCCAAGAAAACAAGAAAAATCGAGATGATTTCGACATCGCAAGATGATACATATTCAGATATTTCACTTAGGCCAGGGAGTGGTCCGACAATCAAGAAGAGTCGTGAATCGGAGTGCATGGAATGTGAGGTCATACCACCTACTCCACTGGTTAAACCTGTCACAAAACATGCTCTTAGCAACCTAGATCAGTCTCATTCGAGGTTGTCACATCCCAATTCAAAGCTGCACAGGAATAACGACGTGAAATCTCGATTGGAAATTCCAGTTGTTAGACGAAGTAGGCGAAATAAGAGCCCTCGCGTTTCAAAATCTGCAACTTCCAGTTCTACATGTTCTTCTACTAGCAGTGAACAGAGCGAAAACAGCACGTCTTTATTGAAGAACCTCGAGACCATCGTGCCTGACTTTAGCAAGGAGTTTGAGTCTTCACAAGGCAGGAAGCCAGGAAATGCAATCACAGAATGGGACGCCACGCCTAGTCAATCACCTGATGACTTCGAAATAAATAAGAATTTTTGTGATAAAACACTACCTGATCGTTGCGTTTCCCAAGACAAAACTTTCAGTCAAAGTTCTTACAATGAGATTCGATCCGATGTTTTAAATTCTAAAGAAAGAGCTTGTAAGAACTTGGGTGATATGCCTTGCCCTGATGCAGAAAAAACAAATTCGTCGCCACAAACATGCAGTTTAGATAGACAAAAAGTTCACGGTGACGTACAGGATTCGTTTTCCTGGACAGGTACAGAACACAAAAGAAATTCCCAAATTTCTCCTGTCCCTTCGTATAATGATATTGCGCATAAAAACACTGAGGACGTAATTGATGTTTTCAAGCACAAATTAAGAGAGGCAAGTGTGCGCGACAGCGGTGAACAAGACAGTGTCCATGGTGATTATGATGAAGGGGACATCTCCCTTGGAGACGATGTAAGGCGCAAAAATCCTTTCGGTGTTAGGAATGAAGGGGATGCCCTTGCTAGTGATAATGAGGTAGATTCTTCAAGTGATGAAGTTCTACTGATGCCCGTGTTTCTCCCCAAGTCGTCTGAATCTCATCCAAATGACAATTGCAGTGAAGATGACGAGGATGATGAAGAGGAATTGCAGTTCTTTTCACAGGAACTAATTCCATCTGACGAGGAGAGATATGACGACAACGATGACGATGGAATATGTGAGTACTTTTTCTTTCGATTTTCAGTTGATTTACTATTTCTTATCAAAACTAGAAAATGGTATTTTTGAATTAACAGCTTTTCAGCGGATGAGGTTATTTGTAAAAATTAGTAAACGACGTTAACGACGATTTGAAATCGTCCACACTCCAGCATCACGCGGAACTGAATGTGATTACAATGTAGCTAAGATCCACTCCAAACGTCTTTCACAAACTGTTCTCATGGCCGTTGTCGTTGTTGGTCCCCTAAGAACATGTTGTACATGTATTTCTAAGATTTTAAAATCGAATTTCAAAAGAACTGCACCGATACATCTCTCTCATGAAAATCCATCTTCTCACATACATGCACTACTGAATACGCAAACTGGACGGAATTTGTAAACTGCATGCTAAATTGTGAACTAAAGGATTCAAATAATCGTATCCTCTAGCTTCGTGTAAAGCGTTGGACAGTACTGGTGCTTCGTCGGCTACAGTTTTATCAGAAGCTGCCGCCTCTACTCAGGTAGGTCTTTTCATTCAACCACTAACTCCTCCATATCGAGTTATCGTGTTACAATGGACAGTATTTGAAGGCTTACATGTACTCAAATATCTCTGATCGTCATTCCTTAATTTACGTTGCCATGGAGAGTCTGACATTTCTTTCCGCAGACAATGGGGTTAAAGAGCTCTTCACATGCAGTAAAACCCGGATATGATGTTATTACAGAGGCCAGGCTAAATGTCTATGTAATTTTTGGGCGTAAAACATAATTTAAAGCGTGCTGGAGTCTCAGTTGTGGAGAGGCTGGTTGTTGTACCTACAACCAAAGAAATTTACCCTCAAGCCCCTCACAGACTAGAGTTACTTGTACTTTATTTGATTGAATAGGAGTGGAATTTTTTTTTTTTTCAGAAAATGGAGGTTCTTCGCCAGGATGTTGAAGCGATGGAAAAAGAGATGGACGAGCTAAGAGCTTATCTCGCTGAAACAGACGAGCAACAAAAGGAAGGAAACATAGCAATAGATGATGACGTGGACTGCATGGAAGAAGGTACAGCTGTACATGTAAAGGAACTTGTTTGAGCTCATTGTGTGTTATTCTTCGTAATGCAGATTCATTTGTAAAATCTGAAATTTGTATCGTCAATACTGGAATGACATTGTGGTTGGTTGTAAGGCTTGATTGAAAAAAATATAGCTTTCATTGCAGTGATTTCGATCTCCCCTTCCCTTGTAAACCGAGAAAAAGAGAGGCGTAGTCGCAAAAATTACTGACTTGATTTAATTAATCCATGTAAAAGTAAAGTAAAGTCGGTATTACCCAACAAATTGTTGGGTAGCTGTAATTGTGACTTGAACTCTTCCTTCCAAAAAAGCCGTTTACACTTTCAGATTAATTTTACACTTTCAGATTAATTTTACAATTTCAGATCCTCGTGATAGTGCCATTATAACGTCTTCACTCACTCCACCCCCACCGCTTACACCCAAGAGCATCCCTCCCATGCGGCAACTGTCCTCTCCCCTGAAAAACGCTTCGCGCTATCTAAATCAGGAGGGGCAATCGTCAGATGAAGATGAAGATGAAGATGAAGACATTGCTGGTGAGGAAATAACTACCAGCATTAGAGAGGAATACTGCGAACTAAGAAATACGCCTTGTAACGGAAAAGAGAATCTTGAAGAGAACGAAAATGCTGTCAGATCGTGCTCACGGAAGCGTGCTTTGTCACCTAGTCACGAAGATGATGGATTAAGCATCACAGCGGTCGGAAACCGACAAGATAAGACGCCTTCTCCACCGCGCAGTTCCCGTGAGATTCAAAAATCTCAGGAAAGAGATGAAGGTTTAATTGTTATTGACGATAGGGATCCTGTGAATTCTAAGACTGGGTCTCTTTTGCTTGTTAAGAGGAGAAAAGTAGTCGATGAACTTGTCCCCAGAAAATCTCCAGTTGTTAGCTTGCTGTTTACGAGAAAAGTGAAAGATGTCAATGCGGCCAGTCATTCTCCAATATCACATGGGTTGGCAAAAGGACTATCGCCCATAAAGAAGAGATCTCCTTTCATTTATTCACGCAAGCGCTCTGCTGAAACCTCCACGATCTCTGGAAGGAACTCTACGGGGCCACTGTCACATAAAACTGCGTCTCGTGACGATATGCCGCATGACCGAGCACGTGTTGTGACACGTGATGCTCGATCCCAAGAGAGTACATCAAGAGATTCTCTGTCAGCGGATGGCCTGTTGATTGAGGGTGTGTCACGTGCTCAATGTCGGTTATCCGATGAGACATTCATAGAACTGAGCACTGCCACGGACACACCAGAGAGCCCGAGGAACCGGAAGAAGGACAAGTCAAGAAGTGAGAAGACTAAACCTCCATCTTTTGTGGCTACTCGTCTAAATAGGAAGCAGCTGGTAAGTATATCGCTTGCTCTGGAACTTGAGATTTCTATCCCCCTAAAATTATTGTTATTCAGTTAGAATAAGAAAAAGTCGTTTGAGGTGGACAGCGGAAGTTCTCCAGGGCTGACAGAAAGCGCCCACTGACAGATTTTAAGGATGACGCTCGGGTCGTTCTTAGGATTTTTACAACGACTTGTCCAAACAATTGTCTCGGCGATCCTTTATACCGACCAAAAACATCAGAAGTGAGCATACATGTGAAGCTTTCAATAACTTTTCCATAAGTGGCTGCCATTGGTGTAACAGGCGGCTATGCCTGAAAAGGGGCCGTGAGGAGAAACTCAAACACGCGAGCCTACTTGTGAACGCTACAAAACAACTGAAAACTGAAATGAGTTACGTCCCATTCATCAAAAAATCAGGGCATGTGATGATCTTTTGCACCATGTATGGAACGTATGGAATACTTTGTGTTATCCTTCTTTTTTTAACTAAAACATTTAATGTATTCAGTCAGGCCGGTTATCACTGTAGCTTGCAATTGTTGGTCTAATTGCAGGCGGAAGCTCGTGTTCTTGCCGAAACGTATGGCGGGAAGCTGGCTAGCGAATTTAACAGCAAGACTACTCACGTGATCATGGCAACAGGTTGGTAAATATTGTCTGGTACGTCGTTTTAAGTGTACTATTGAGAATAGCTCATGACCCGGACGCTCACTGTGTGACCGACGGTACGAGTACATGTATCACAAATTTCCAGATTTCTCTACATACCGTATTACGTAAAATTTTGCGTGAGGGTTTTGTCCTTCTCTTTTTTTTTTTTTTTTTTTTTTTTTTTTCGGTTCTACATGACTAAAATTTCTTATTTAACATTTCTCTATTTAATTTTTAAATTTTTTTGTCCAGGAAGTAGAGCTTTAACAAAGAACGAAACTTATCACTTGTATTTTTCAAGTTTTCTGATTCATCAAGTTGTACGTAGAGAAGTTGCCGGGTAATTGATTTATAAATGTGTGTTTATATTGAGTTTGACAACGAAACATAGGAATTTAAACTTGATTCTCGCAAGGAGTGTTTTATTGACTGAAAGTAGTAAATTTTTTTTTTTTTTTTGGGGGGGGGGCTTAGTTTTATTTTGAGGGATTTTTTATCAAATGAGATTATTGTGGCGGATCAGGAACAAGAATGTTTGAGTTATCAAACATCATTAAATTTATCATAAAACATAATCAGGTCAAATTGTGTTCTAAGATGATAACGGCAATGAATTTTGCTCCTTTCAGATGAAAACATGCAGGTGACACGTCACAGTTATACCATGAAGTACCTACTGGGATTGGCTCTTGGCAAATGGATTGTCAGTCATCACTGTAAGTTCACAGTGTCAGTTTGCCTGTCGAGTCCGATATACCTTTGCTACTCTCCGCTCCGCTATCCTACTTTTCTTTCTTGCTACAGTAATCATGCCTTTTGTGTTTTGAAGCAAGCGCTATTAACCAAGTGCTAGGTCAACAAGGCTGGATATAAACCCATCTTTCCAGCTCGAGAAGCCAATCAAAGCCCAGGGGTCGCATCGTCGTGCGACCTCGTGCAGCTAGCCTTATTATGAAGAGTGATTGAACGCTTGTTTAGTGCACATCATTTCCATGATATTTTCCAGTTTAATAGTAGGCAGATTACTTTGAGTACAACTCAAAAGGAAAGAAAAGTAGCCACATACATCGAGTTTCTCTTTTGCGCAGAAAAGTGTTTTTAGCAGCAACTAAATTTCAATGTGGTTACGTCATTTGACTTTGCTGCATTTTGCATGACAGCAGTTGAATTGCGACAAAAAATGTTTTCTTCGTGTGTCTTCTTTTTGCAACAATTTTCCCTTTTCTTCTTTTTTAGGGATCACTGCATGTATTGCAGCCAAAGCACTTGTAGCGGAGGTAAGTAGGTCTTCTATATTAGCACATATATATTTACTTTTCGTTATTTTTATGGGTTGGACGATTTCAGCTTTAAAGTTGGACTAGAGTACTTATTCTAGCCTCCGTGTAATTCAGTGAATGTCCGCCCGCTAATTTACCAGTCCGTTTGTCTGACTGTCTTTTCGATCATTCGCTTGAAAAAATCACGCGCGAGAGAAACATATTTTCGATTAGTGAAGGCTACTTACCCATGGATTGTTTCATAATGGCACCATCCCTTGAATGCCACAGTTACATTTTTTCCACAATCAAGGGGAGAATAACAAGCGTTCACTCCTTAACCCTTTAACCCCTAAGAGTGACTGGCGTCTACTTTCTCCTCACAGTATCATCCTTGAATCATATGTAAAGATCACGAGAATAAAGGAAATGATCATCAATTTAGGAAGCTTCCGATTTTCAGACAAATTCTTCTTGTCAGTTCCAGAGGAAATGAAAGGAGAACAGAATGGGGGATATGAATACCGATGTTAGGGTGTAAAGGGTTAGGAGTTATACGTTATTTTTTTTCCTCAGGCGGATTATGAAGTGAGGGGTGACGCTGGTCTTGGACAAACTTCTATCCCTTGCTTGGCAAGAACAGCTAGAAGTAAGAAGGTATGTCTAAAAAAATATATGCCTTTGTTAGGAAATGAAACAATAACAAACGTTTAAATTTGTACCTAACACTCTTTAGCATTTACCACTCAACTAGCCTCTGTATGCAATGAAAGTGAGATTTTATACAAAACCCCGATTAATTTCGTAAGCGGTAGACTTCGTTGTTATTGCGATGTAGCACCGAACTTAAGATCTCACGAACATCGGTTGAACCCAGCTGACCAGTTGAAGGTTTTCTCTTGCTTGGTCTTGCCTTCTAGGTATATCTCTCCCAAAACTCGTCTCCTACTTATTATTTTTTCCAGGAAGCACTATTGTTCGAAGACTTCCACGTTCTCTGCTTTGGCAAGTTTAGTGCAGCGGTCGCAAAAGGTACTTCTTTTGAATTGTCTGCTCCTTGTAAAGATTTGTGGCATTAAAGTGAATTTGGGAAGCTGTTCAGTTGTGAGCCTTTATAGCTCTTACATCTTGCATAAAATCTCATCTTTTTTTAATTTCCTAAATAGCCTGCGGAACAGGTGGGATTTTTTTGCGATTTCAGGCGAACGGAGGCAAGCGCGAGGCGAGCGGCGCAAAAAATGACTTTATTAAATGGCTTTTTTTTTCTTCAACTACAGACCAGCTCAGCCAGCTTTTAAAATTTTGTGGAGCACATGTCTTTTCCGATGTTGAAAATTTAAAAAGAATCGGAAAGGTGAGTCTATTTGGTTCTACTCTTTTCGTCCTCTTTGTTTAATTTCATTTTCATTTCTTCATGTTTCCTTATTTATTTTTGTCTCTTTTGTTTGTTTACGTTTTTTTTCCCTTTAACTCATTGTAATTTCCCGAACTCTAGATAAGGATGTAGGCTTTTAAGGTAGTGCAACGCATGTCTTTAATAAGAAAAGTGGTGACTTATTATAACAGAACTAACTAGTATGCCCTAAATTACCTGTATGGCGAAAGTGTTGCTCCATCTCCCATCCCACTTCCCTCTTCCTTCCCCGACTCAAAAACCCTTCCGATGCATCCCCTGAGCCTGGCATTAATTGAATGCTATTTTCTTTCTAGGATGGCCAAAAAGTTGTTGTCCTTGATAAAGATACGAAAACAAACATTGATCACCTGAACGGTAAGGCTCATTCTCTTAGTTCTACGCTGTGTTACAGTCAACATTTCACCTTGTTTTTGTTTTTTGTTCTTGTCAGTTTTTGTTGTTACACTGTCACTTCTCATATGAAAACTGATTACCTTTATCTTGTTTGAAACAATTTTATTTTTGGCCATTATTCCTTTTTCTACTAAGTTAATATTATCGTCTGTTCTTCTCATCTTTCTTTCTTTGTGTCACAGTGGTCTGTCGTCACTTGAACACGATCGCTGTGTCTTTAGAGTGGGTAACAGACAGCATAGCAAATTACAAGTAAGTACTGTACCTAGAACTAGCCTACCTCAACGACACAATATACGTTTGCTATTTTATCGTAGGCTGCTACTCCTTCCCCAACCCCCATCCGCTCCAAACTCCTTTCGCACGTCATAGTTGAAAGAACCGTGGTCCACTGATTATTGCGCTGGAAATCGCCCGAATTGAGCCCCTCAATCAAAAGTACTAGCCTACTTGTTTTGTTGACTTTCACCGAGGTTAACCCTTTAACCCCTAAGAGTGACTAACATCTAATTTCTCCTTACAATATCACCCCTGAATCATGCAGTAAGGTCATGAGAACAAAGGAAGTGATCAATGACTGGAGAAACTCCTGATCGTTCAACAGCTTAGAAAATTAGAGAATAGTACGCAGACTGTGTTTACTTCTTTTAGATTGTAAAGGCTTGATTTGTGTACAAATTTGTAGTTAATTACTTCTCACTCTTCTCTTGTTCCCTTTTCCCTTTTGTTTACTACTTGTCCTCAGGGTTCAAGATTTAAAAGATTACGCCATCAAAATGGACGATCAGAGGCATACAGACAAGTCTTCTCTTAACCAAGATATCTTAATTCTGTGAATGGAAATGGTGTATTTAAAGTAGATGTGGTATAAAAGAAACTGCGAAATAATTTGATTAAAACATGTTAGTTTGCTTTTTTAAAACATCCTTGGAAAAATTGTGGACAGGACTATCATAGAGGCAGAAAATTCTTCTCGCCCAGTCCCTCAGGTAACTCCCCACGGGGAGAGTTAGAGTAGGGAAATATTTTAATACACTTCTGAATCGCACACATATATTGTGATACGGTGTAAATAGAGCGTATAAGTTGAAAGAGAAACTGAAAAAGCATATTAACTTTTAAATGATACTTTCCTTCTTTGACTGCTCACAAACAGGTCTAGAAAAGGTTTAACCCTTAAACGTAAAAGATTCTTTGATATCTCGAACGTGATAGTTTGATTATTATATTAAAGAATGAAGAGCCATGAATGGGCAGTTCTCTCCGATTACAAAAGAGGGTTTTTTTTTCTCTACGATTAGTATTACAAGTTGTGAATTTATTTTTATGTTTAGCGGTTAAGCGCTTGTTAGATCAGTTCATTGCGTCAAATCATAGAGATGTTCTCTGATGAGCACTCAAGCCTTTTGTGGGGAGAGGACTTATTCCTCTCGTTATCTGCTCGTTAAATCTACGTGCAAGTCTTGTGGGTTAGGCATGTGTGCTCCGACAAAGCTGAATTTCCCTTTTTGCAAAAGAAGACCTCTTTTTGATGCTCCTTCAAACGTGGAACAAACTGACGTTTGGTCTGTCCGGTATACACATGGTCACAGTCATTGCACGGAATAGAATTAATAGCGTCTGTTCGTTGTTCTTTCGTGACAGCAGGATCCCTAGGTTTGGCAAATATATGCCAATATTGCCAAACCTAAGGATCCTTTTACGAAAGAACAACGAACCGACGCTATTTCTTATATTCCGTGCAATGACTGTGATCACGAGTATATCGGACGGAAAATATGCCAAGAATGAGGGACTCAGTGTTTTATTCGTGTTGCTTCTTTGCTTCCTTTCCTTTAAAAAGGTCAAGCTGAACACGTTCGTAACTCTTTCACTATCATTTTCAAAAACGTGTGTCATGTCTGACATTGCATTTTTGACGTCAGCTTCGCGTCTCAACTGAAATGACTGACCAATTCTAGCGTTTGACTATTCAGTTCGTTGTATGAAACGCGAATGGTTTCAGTACCTGGCTAGACTTATGAAGCAGCAAGAAATTTTAGACTTACGGATGAGTAACTTTCAGTTCTTAGCGGAATGACTTGGCTGAGGCAAAATAGAGAATGGCAATTACTATTAAACCTCATGTACAATAGTACCAAAATAGAGGTGAATTGCAATAACACACCCTTCCGATGCTGAGTACGTACTTGAAAGCTAAAACCATAAATCCGTGGAAGTTCTAAGGTCTGTGGGCGGATGTGAAACCAAAGATAACAAAGCGCATTAAATATAAAATTAGCTGTACATTTCGTGAAAACTGCTTAGGCAGGAAGTCCAAACCTAGCAGATTTATGAATTTACTAATGTCGAAACATGTAAAGAACGATGGGGCTCTATTGAGTTGGTGTTTAGTGTATCCGCTTCCTGTACAAGAATATTCAAATTCTCTCTAAGGTAGGGTTCTCGATAGGGTTAACTTTTTAGCCGTAAAACGGCCAACGAATTAAGCCGTTACGCGTAAAAATTTGCAAATTGTAACCGTTAGTTGTAAAAAAGTTTACTGTAAAATTAAAATTTCATCACAATGGAAGGAAAGTAATCGTTAGCCATAAAATGGCCAAAATTTTAACTGTTAGCTGTAAAAGAGAGCCTATAAGATAGGGAAAAAGTTTAAGGGAACTCGTAACTTCCAACCGCACCGTCGAAATGATTTTGACTCGCGCGTTCGTTTTTAACATCGGAAGTTTAGATGGGGAAGAAATTTTCAGGAACTTGGGATTTTCTCTTCCGGCTAAACTTTCAGGTACTCACGAGGAGAACTGGGTTCGATTATTAGTTCCCAGTCGATTGATTTCCATTTTGGACTTCATCTTAGAATGTTCAGAGACGCCTTTCATAATCCGTTCCCAGTTTCTGCCATTTTTCGGGATGAAAATGTGTTCATACATCTACAGAGGGTATATCTAAGACAGTGTTAGGTAAAATACCAGAGAATCACCGACTCCCGCTTGTTGGCATGCCTTTAAAAGGCCTAAAATCACACAGAGGACGCGTTGATTGTCGCGTGGATGTCAATCGAAAACACATAAGTAAGGGGATTCCCCAATGCCAAAGTTAATTTTCCCAAAATAAATTGTTATCGGTTTCCTCTTCAAAATTATACTGTACGTCACTGTCTGAGTGGATGTTGCGTCGTTACTGCCGGTTAAATAACAGTTTGCACCAATCAATCTGCAAGCCAAACATTGAATTCGTATAACTATAAATCGGACTGACTCGTAACGACGGTTTTAGGCTGGGAAACACTCGAAAGAAGCTACAGAAAATAGTCAATTTCAGAAGTAAATATGAATGTACAGAATGCAGGTATTTTGATGAACATAATGTCCTATGTGATTAATTCTACTTCGAAAAGCTCTTCTTTTCTCCACCATGACTTGAATGTGAGTCACACTGGTTACCAAGCGGAGCTGCTGTAGATTGTACAACGTGTCCAGCGAGGGCTCTCGCGATCTTCGTCAGCCTTATTTAGTTTTATTTTTTCGTCCCAGAAATTATTCGGCTACTGAAGAACAGAAGGCAGCTTTTGTGTGCATGAAGTGTAAAATATTTGAGCCTGGCTTTAATTGTAATAAATTAAGGAACTGTGAGCGGTGAAACATATTTCGTAGGCAGCTACAAGCTCTATAATAGCATGAAAATAATTAAGTTGAAATCGTACTAAAGCTGAAGAAATTTGGATAAAAAAACCTCATATTTAATTAAAGTTGTAATGCAAGGTTGTAGCTCAGAAATCGGGCGGCTGACTGAAATTTTAAGAGAGGCTAACTCAAATATTTTCAGGGATTGTAAGTGCATTAATTTGCTCAAAAGTCCCTGTAGTGCATTCACGGTCAAAAATCCAACTGGTGATCGCCGCTTTTTCATTCTGCAAATTTTGCAAGCTGCTGGTGCTTGGCAACAACCCAGAGTTTAATAGTGTTATTCTTTTTGGCAAATGACATATCTGACATTATTATAAATAATCACAAGCAAGGAGATAAGTTAAATATTTTGTTATAGTTTTACTGACCTTGCCTAATTATATGAATGCTTCGCCAGAACTCTTGTTTGAAATTATAAGTTTTTATTTAATTTATTCTTCTCCAATTTTCTCTCAAATTTTGAATTGCTAAGAATAACTCAATGTAAATATCTTTTTTGTTGTAATTTAGACAATATCTCCTTAAACGTTTGTTAAAATTATCTATACTGTTTATATGTGTGTTCCCAACATACATAATGAAATTATAACAAAGTTGCACTATGTTTCAAATAGGGAATAGAAAATTTAAAGTCAATGTTAGTGGTGGGCATGTCCTTTGCGGTGATAATTCAAGAATGGATGTCACATACAGAACAGGTAGGGAAATTTTTTTTCAAGAAATTTGTTTCAGTTTGAATATGTTGAATTAAGGGAGATATGTAGCAGCTATAGAGAGTAACGAGATCAGGTAAATACAGTTCACTTTGGCTTAATTAACCCTTTACACCCAAACATCGACATAAATATTCTCTAAGTGTCATTTCCTTTATTTCCATAAACATACTGTTGGATTCAACTGTAATTCTAATAGGGGAAACTAGACGCTAGAGATGAAACAGTTCATGTACATATGTATTAAAGCAAAGATAATATAAAAAAAATTATTCATTTTAAGTCTGTCTTAAAAAAATTGAACCTTAAATCCTTGAAACTTTTTTACTATTATTTTTAAAGGTAATAAAACAAGATATCACACATTGTCATCAAAATCAACTTTTGCAAAAATTACTGGTCCAGGTAATACATAGTCTTATTATTCCATGGTAAAAAGTGCTTACCACCCATAATCTTAGCTTACTGAGAAATTTCTTATGTTTGGTATATGCTGAATTAAGAGATTTTGGTTCCAGTCCTAGGCCAGGTGCATCAGCTCTCTCAGTGCTGCTCTCTACCTAGTAGTATAAATGTGAACAGCAAATATTAATTAATAAGGAAAATAGACAGTGTTTTCTTATTCAGTTTAACTCTCATCATGTTACCTTCACAGGAGTCATAGATTTTCCAATGTTGTGCGCATAGAGATTTCTGATCAAAAAGTGTCATTTTGAGATATTCTGAGACCCCATATAGTAAAAGAGGAAAATATAATAGGCATATATATATGGATATGTGGAATTTTAAACTTAGAGTGCTCTAAGGTAGTCACTGTAGGTAAGGGATCAGAGGATCAATATTATTCTCATTGTGTGGATTGCAGTCACAGCTCATTACCAACAGGAGTTTTTGATCAATTTCTTTTCAGATCAATTGATATCATCAATACCTTACACTGTGTATTCTCAACTCAGCGCACTGTTGATAAGAGACCGAATAGATTTAGCAGCGAAACTCTTCAACTTGACACTAGAAGAGGCAATATCACTAAAAGACAACACAGACCATGAATGCCATGGTATGGATGCAATTTTCCAACTGATGAAGGAACGCAACGTGAATCTTGGCCACCTGGTGGAAGTGTTGAGGGAGATGCAGAGGTATGATGCCCTTAGTGTCCTCATTAAAGCTGGCTATCCTGACCATCCAGATCTTCATCCAAGTGTTTCAGGTACAAGCTATATTCAAGGGTGAAGCATTTACCCACTGCCACATGGGTGAAAATTTTACACTTTGTGTATGTAGAATTTAATTTTTTATCCAGTCAAAAAATATCTTTTTTTCTTTTGTGTGTTCTGTTTCCCTTCTTTCATTTTTTTGTTTTTTTTTGCAGACAAAAAAAAATTTATGTGATCTCTCTTTTTCAAAACCAAAGTAGACATAGTTTCTTGCATATTTGAAATGTTTTTAAAATAATAGATAAACACGATGATCCAACTGTCTGTTATTGATGTTTCTTTATTTTCTGTTGCTGGCACTTAATTTAAAGATAGAAATGACAATGACAATGATTGTGTTAATGATGTTGATGCATGTATCTTGTGCAAGAAACAACCCATCAGAAGACTACAATAGGACTGTTAGGAAATTAAAATACACCCTCATTATTTCAATTCTGTTTTTGGGTTATAAAGGAAGTGACTCAGATTATCAGCATCTCTTTGGTATCACAAAGTGAGAAACTTAAAGGATACCCAAGGGAGCAGATTAAAAAAATTTCTTTTATTAGTTATATTATTTATTAAATATTATTTCAGTTATATTACTTTTAAGGTAGTTCTGAGAATCAGAGGGAGCTTGTAATCACTATTGTCTTGTCTTGTTTCAGAGGAGGAGAGCTCAGAAGAGGTGTTAACCCTGTCGCAGAGGGGAAGTAGCCATGTGAACCCCTGAAGACCGTACAATTAATGCTTTGGAGGAGCTTGTTAATTGTTTAACTATTTCTCAGTAAACTGTTCATAAGTGGAAACAAAGTTTTTTGTTCATTTTCCTCTTCAAATTAAGTTTCTGTTGATGTAACTGAAATGTTGATCTATCTCTTATTTATTTATTTATATTCTTTTCAAAATTATTGGTTTGAATGTCATTATAGTTTATTTATCAACATTAATTACTAAATGCTACAATACTGCTTGACGCAGGCTCTGTTATATCTTAGCTAGAACTGAGAATTTTCATAGCAAAATGTCTAATATATTTATGGCAGAATTCCCTTGCCACAGAATACCAGTGAGAAATGCCAGTCCTCTAATTGTGAAAGGAATGGAGTTAAAAAGTCAAAATTGTGTCAAAGATTTTAATCATACACATGTTTTACTGTGTGCTGTAAGGGTCCTCCTTTTACAAAATTTTGGTCAACCAAAAAAAAAACAAAAATAATATTAATTTCATGTTAGAGACAGATTTTGACATCATGATTATACTATTGTACCTATATAAATTTGGTAAAGGTTGCCATGGGAATTGGACCAAAATTTTTTTTGGCCTTTTTTTATCCAGAATAGACATAATGTAACAGCCATCAATAGATTAAAACTGTTCATCCATGTAGTAACCTTAATAGTGTGTTACGGAAAAAACAAACAAATAAAGATGCAAACAAAAGAAGTTAAAAAATACAAAAGCAATCAAACTTAAAAAAAGTCACAAAATAGGAAAAAATTATTCTTGTAAAGATAAATTAGGTAATTTACCTCCTTTAAAATACTTCATTGTGCATCAACTGATAGTTAGCCTTATCTATAAATAAAATGAGTTGACATTTTTCCTCTCAGAGTTGTTCACTTTGACTTTCTTACTGTAATTCATGAAAATGAATTAAAGGCTTGCAGTCTTCTCTAATACTAATATTTGTATCTCAGTATGGCATGACCTTCACTATTTACTTGTTTTCCCCATTGCAACGTACTGTGGCTGCAAGGAAACTGTTGCAAATGAGATGCAAATTAGGTTTTTCAGCCCACAATGGCATTTCATGGTTCCTACCCCATCAACTGTTAATTTTGGATACTTATATCTACATGTTGTTTATTCAAACAAGTTTATTCAAAGAAGTTTTATGTGAATTTTATTTGTGTTTGTATTGCTCTATGTGAAATGTTGAGCACAGGTCGAGTAACACCTTTGCAAAATTTGTGGAAAGCAGCAGATTTGTTTTAATTCTATAAGTTGCCATAAAACTTAGGTTTTCATATTTTCAAAGTATATTGTGAACTTTCTACCGTCGTCTTAAGTTTGAATTAGCACACAATAATTAAATTTAGAACTCAACAGAGAATGACAATTATAATCTTATGATGAATGAAATTTTGAGATTTAATGAGATCAAAGTTTTAAACAGAATTAATGGGGTAGCAAACTATGAATAATCCACTTTCTCATGTAAATTTCAAACTTTTTTTGATACAACGCTTTTTTTTATGTTTTGGCTAGAAGGTTAAATTTAACAGCATTATGCGCAACTTTAGCGCTTACAATATGAGCCAATATATAGAAACATGCACACATACATACAGACAAAGAATTAATGACGTTAACTGTCAGAATGTCTTGAAATAAAACACTGGAGAATATCATTCCATTTTCACTCAGGACTTTGAAACTGAAAGATTCTGTTAAGTCGAAAAATGTTAGTTCGCCCACGCCTGGCTACATAAAGTCTGAAGGCATTTTAAGGCTAAAAATACAAATGACAACTCAGAGGGGCTTTACCCATTTGCACTTTCGAAATGAGAGGATAAAAAGGTCTTTTCACAGATTAGGAAAAATAAAATTACCATATATATGTGAGAGAAAGAAGAGATTTTTAAGTCCTAGTCGAGCCAAAAGCTGGGCTTATTTCTATACCTACAGTGCTGGACTTGCAAGTGTAAAGATCATATTTTAAATACGTAAGTGTCATGAACAAAAACCTTTATTACTGTTCGAATATGTTGATATTAGTTTGTTTCTATATCTTATCGTTCGTGATAGAAATTGCAAACTTTCCTCTTGACTTCAAACAATTGAAGCAAGATTTAGAACTATCCAATGTCAGCCATGACTGAGATCATCAAAAGGCTGAGGTATCGCGCAGCAAAGTCTACTCAGTGTTACTTAAATTGATCACGAAAGCGAGTTTTACAGTTTCCCTAATAGTTCGGATTGATTTCGAAGTACTGATCACAAATGTATATTTTTTTTCATTCCTGTTGTTCTTTACCCATTTTCTGCTGTTTTAGGTCTTTGTGTTTCATCATTTTTAAGATGCACAATTGTGCGAACAAACTTTTATATTGCAATTACAAGGTCTTCATATATCGCGACAGGGGATTACTAAAAATAGTCATTTTCACTTTCTATATTCGTCGTATCCGCGAGGTATCGGCTGAGGTATCGCGCAGCAAAGTCTACTCAGTGTTATTTAAATTGATCACGAAAGCGAGTTTTACAGTTTCCCTAATAGTTCGGATTGATTTCGAAGTACTGATCACAAATATATTTTTTTTAAATTCCTGTTCTTCTTTACCCATTTTCTGCTGTTTTAGGTCTTTACGTTTCATCATTTTTGAGATGCACAATTGTGCGAACAAACTTTTATATTGCAATTACAAGGTCTTCATATATCGCGACAAGGGATTACTAAAAATAGCCATTTTCACTTTCTATATTCGTCGTATCCGCGACGCATCTTCTTTACAAGTTTCTAACCCACTGTTTATTTTGATCTGCGTCCAAAAAGCGTAATTAAAAAATGGGAATAAATAATCACCAGTAGGAGTGAGACAAAGTGACTTGCTTGCGAAAGAAACTCTTCCCGTAAAAGAAGAGGATTAAAATGCTTCCCTCGCGACTACATTTTGCGTAATGATTTTCAAAGCAGTAAAAGATTTCTTACTTTTAACTGTAGTGGTGAAAGTGAAAGTAGTTCAAGCCGGAATTGATTCGATGATTAAAGCTTTTTTAGGACGGTACTTTATCGGTCTGCTATCATTTATTATGAACACAGGAATAGCATAGATCTCAGAACTTCCGTTTGATGGCAGACGCTGCAATTTGTTTGGCTACGTTACTCGCGGTCTATCTCATGTTGAATGAGTAATCTGATAGTGTGCGAATTTGAACAAAATTAAATAAAAACACGAACTTGTCGTGATGTTAATTTCGATTAACTGATTTCTTTTGTAAAATTAGATTATTCCTGCGAAATTTATATGCGTGATAGTTGATTCGGTCCACGTCCTTTCTCGTCAACTATCACCTCAATAGAATTATCGAGGTCATAATATAATCCTTAAATAGTAAGTGCGTTGGAATAGCCTTGGTCCATTGCACAAATTTTCTCTAGTTGTGCTGAGCATCGCAAATCCACTGATTTCTCAAAGAAAAAGAGTCGCAAAAGCAGGAACGATGTTATCAATATCCTCACCAGTAGGATAATAACTTTCACCAGCCATATTGGTTATTCAAAGTTAGAATAGTGTTTGAAAACGGACATTTTTCTAATAAAGCAATTTCAATGAGCGGCATGATGATAATAATAAACACAAAACAAAACAAGTACATGTGATTACATGCTTACGAGTGCAATTTGATGTAAATAAGCACGTGTACATTTGTAGTCTTTGAAAATTTGTCAAGTGCTTATTTCACCAAATTGATTGTAAGAGAAATGATGTTACTACTTGTCAATAGTGTACAAGAAAAAACATCGCAGAAAGTCATAACAGACGAAATTTCAAAAGCTTACGCGCGCTGTTTGACATTTGCACTCGTGTTACAACTTTGCACCCGCGTTACATGAAAATACACTTGTTTTCAGCTAATCAGAAGCGCATAATTTTTTCATGTACATTAAAAGTATAATTCATGCCATTTGTATTACAATTTTGTCTCCTAGTGTTGACAAAGCTGATGGCTGGGCTCCTACAAGGTACACTGATGCTGCTTTATACTTCCTAGACTTTTTTAAACGAAAGAGGCTTTCCACGCAAATCATGAGAATACACAGCTAGGCGTAGAAAAAAAAACCACTTTGCTTCAGTTTCTTCCTTAAAGGAAACACTACTACATTGTTTGAGGAAAGCCTCTCTGTTGTAACGAATTGTCGCGTTACAACTGAAAACTATAAGTGTAACCATAAAATTTGAACGAACTTCATTGATCGTAGCATGCGAGCAGCCCTTACCATTAACGCTGATAGACACAAGTTTCTCCTCCCAAGGGAAAATTTCAGATGAGTCGGATAGAGATTAGCTGGGAGTCTGGCGCTAATAATGTTAGACCCTTCGAGGATCGACCCCTCGTTGGCTCGTGTTGTTCAAGGCTTCCCACTTTCCCGCGGGCGAAGAAACGCTCGCGCCGAAGCTCCAGTAACGAGGGCTTTTTTGTACGCTACATTAATCGATAGCCCTCTTCTGATATTTGTATTTGCCTTTTTTTTTTTTTTTTTTTTAGCAACACAAGGAAAATACTCAGTATTCGTTACTGGGGGAAACGTCAATGTTGGTTACAGATCGCGAATGACTTGTTACTCCGGGCAGCGAAGAGGTATTGCTAAGAATTAAAGAGTCGTACTATGATTTAGCTACTTGGTTTGGACAATCTCTATTGATTCTAAAATAGACAAAAAAGTAAAACAAAACAAATCAAAAAGCAAACAAAATGTAGGAATAATTCCAAATGATACTAACAATATTACTAGTATTTATGATGTATATAATGATTATGATTATATTCATAAAAATACTGATAATAATACAAAACGAAAACAAAAACAGAAATAAATGTCAGATATGTGAAAAACTGAGCATTTTTTTTTTTTTTTTTGTAACAGCAAGCTACTCCACCGGTCCATCAGTAAGAACAACTACAGAAAGAATCACAGGCCCCGGTGAGAATGTTTTCGTAAACCGTTAAACCCTTAAACCTCTAAGAGTGACTGGTTTCTACTTTCTCCTCACAGTATCATCCTTGAATCAAATATGAAGGTCATGAGAATAAAGGAAATGATCACCAATTTAAGAAGCTCCTGATTGTCTGACAAATTCTCCTTGTCAATTCCAGAAGAAATGTAAAAAGAAAAGTGCCAAGAATATAATGACTAATATTAACTTGTAAACGTATAACATGACAGTTTTGTGTGGTTGCTGAGATATGCATTTTTGGAAACAAATTCATGTAACTCGAAATTACTAACATTTTTGTAAGGCATTGACCTTACAAAAACTGTTTTGACGCAACCGAAGTAAACTTCGAAACTTTTATTTGCATAAAATAACATCTTACTTTTATTTCTTTTTCTGTCAAAGCACAATTTCCTGACATTTATTAAATTACTTAAGTCTATAAGCAAATGAAAACGTTTTGTCGCATATATATATATATATATATATACAAGAAAATTTAACCGCGTGTTCTAGAACTTTTCAAAAAGGACGTAATTTGAATGTAACACTTAAGCGCGTTTGGGGTAGAATAAACAATAATTGAAAAATTTCGCTTATTCAAGAAAGGATGTAGGCATCTTTCATCTTAAATCGAGGAAACATCAAGCAAAAAGATAAGTTACCTCGAATCACGATAAATATGAATACTCACCTTTATTAATTCTTTGGGTTTTTTTTGTTCTTGTGTTTGTTGTTTTTTTCGTTTTTGTCGTTGTGTTAGTTTGTTTTTGTTTTAATTTTACATTGGTTGTGTGTGTTATTCAGAGCAACTATTGAAAGATGTCCCAAGTTCAACTCTCAGCGAGCTTGTTATGTTGCTGAACAACCCTAGCCCCCTCAGAAACAATTGGAAAGCCATGGCGGCCGAGATGTCTTTGAGCTTTCAAACAGTACAAAGTTTAGACTACTATGGTGCGGATGGAATGATGAATGGGGTGCTCGAGATAATGTTTCAAAGAGCAAAAACAGTCCGGCACTTAGTGGATATGCTGAGGAATATCCAAAGGCCTGATGTCATTGCAATCTTGGTTAAAGCTGGTTTGCAAGAGGGCGACGTACACCTAATAGATTTGAGTGGTATGAAGATGCAAATCTAGTATTTTTGTAAAAGTATTTTTTTTCGTTATTTTTAAATATTATTCACTTCGGTGAATAATTGTTAAAACAATTATTGACCGAAGTGGAGGTGAATAATTGTTTTTGTATATACTACACAGAGACCAAAATTGTTGGAAATTAAACTGTCGACGCGCGATTTTACGGAATTTGATATTTGAAAATCTAATTGACTCCGTCTCAGATTCAAGAAATCTCCATGAGAAGATGCCTTCGGCTGCTTGAAGGTGAACAGTACTTGCTAACCACTTCCGAACTAGCCAATCAGCTTGCGCGAAAAGTGCTATTCGTCCGTGTGGTCTATACTAATTGTAAACAATTTTTCACCGAGGTGAAGGTGAATTTTCACCATTTTAACCGTCACTGAGGTAAATAATTGTTTTAGGATACGCTAGAGAGATACCAAAAACTTAGTTTATTTCTTTCAAGATATAACTAAAAACGGTCAGAAATTAAACTCCTGACTCGCGTTTTTGTCTCATACGCTGTTCTGCTATTAACTTCTACAAACTTGTGGAACTATGGGTTGTGGGTTAGATATTCAATGTCTTATTCTTAATTATTCTGTCGTAGATGATGCAAACACAGAAGACCTCAGTAACGACAATGTCTCTCGTGTAACCATAAAGACAACCAGCTCAACTAACTCCATTGATCACAAGCAATCAAGTGGCCACACGCATGCATTATGGGAAAACCCTAGCAAGGACACACCACGCCAAGGCAGTGTACCCGAATCCTCAAATGTTACAAATAGCCGTAGGAGTCTTCAAGAGCCGTTAGACAACACCATTCCCCGTGTTGAATCAGACGGGGCGCCCTTCGGTACAGCTCTGGGTGTCTGCGTCGTGCCAGTAAATATCACCGCTGATGAAAGACATAAAGAGGAAGTTGTGGCACTTGAACGTCAAGATTTTAAAAATTCTATTATTTATAGAATAATTAGGTTAATAGTGGTCACTTATTCCGTGTTACGTGATAGCTTCAGCTTAGGGTCGAGGCAGAAGCACATTGTATCAAGTTGTGTATAGGTTATTAATATTCAGCTTCGCTTAATTTACTTAGAAAGCTAACCGGATCCATTAATAGCCTGTAGTCCACGTCGTCCATGCCGATTTCTTACTTTCCGTCGGACATTTCGTTGATTTCCAACATTGATTTTGCTTACGTTTGCTCCAATTCTTTACTGAAGTTGGACAATATTTTGTTGCTACTGTTGTTGTTTTCTTATTTAAAGACTACTGTTGTGAAGTTAGGGGGAAGATAGCTTTAGACAAACTCGCTGAGCGAAGGGTACCAGGTGTATCGGATCACAATATCTTCTTATTTAATGTACCACTGCCCTGTTGTTAAAATGTCACTACAAAATCCAACTTCAACTACTATTAACAAAAGATACGCGCTTGTATGTGAGGTAGCGGGACTTATAACCTTACAATAAACAATCTCAAGTAGTAACGACTACTTCATAGATAAGCTCCAAGGTTAAGAAATCACTCACAGATCTGAACCTTGCGCTGATAAAGATCTTAAAAGTTTTCTGCAGATAAAACGCTTAAAATAGCGATAACTTGAGAAACATCGAATTCCAGAACGCATCGACAAGAACCCCAGAAACATCTTCCTCTTACTGAACTACGCCTCAATTCTTGATTGATGTACATGCTACTCCAATGCAGATCTATGGGGTCGAATATTAAGTGTATAGAATAGACTTTTGGTTCTGATATCTGGAAAATGAATGCAGTAATTAGAAAGTAAACTCAGAAATTCCTTTCGTTTACTGTTTAAATTTCCTCCTCTTTCTAAAGCCAGCGGAGGCATTTGCTCTTTCCTATAGCTTCCCTCTTCTATTGTTTGACCTCGAGAGCTCATGCGACCCTTTAGGCTGTTGTGAGTGAAAAATGAGTTGGCTGTTATATGACATTTTAGCCGGTTGCTGACATCAACTGAAACCCTTTTGGTATGGCGAGAACCTTAAAATAACAAAGGTTTAGATATGATGTCCTACTGACGACATCGCAAACAATATACAAGGGATGAAGATAAGACCGATGCTTTCTTAAACGCAGCACGAAATCAAGAAGTCCTCTCAGTATATAGCTCGTGCTGCCGAGAGTTTCCTCACGTAAACACACCTGTCTATGTATGCGGTGTGGGGCGCAAACATGTTTTCCGGTCTGCATTTTGATGGAGAACGTAACCAAGAGAGGATAAAGCGAACTTATATGTAAAAAAACTTTCCTGGTTGGAAAGACAATAAATTGACATAAAATTTGGTCGCCAGGCAACAGCGCGCGAATACAAAACCCGGATGTAAAATTGTATTTTCATGACAACCGCGTTATATAGCAATAAGAAATTCACAATGTGGTATGCTTTTGCTTTTACTATAAATTTTATAAGGTCTTTTATGTAACTGTAATGATTATATCCACTGGAAAGGAAGATATCGCATTGGCGAGTAATTTATCGACATTTCCGTCATTTCCTAACTTCACTGGCAAGTAAATTGTTGAGACTGACTGCAGGCGTTTAAGGAAAGGTCTTCTTGGTAATTCCAAAAGAAAATAAAGGAGCGAGGTAAATGTTTGTTTCAGTGTATACTAAAATATTGAGGTAGCAAAGCACAAAGAGATAACTTAAACTAATTTATTCCTGCAACGATTACAATATTTTCGGGCGCAAATCCCGCCCGAGTTGCTTGGAGGTGAATGTCAAAGGATATTCGGAGTTTGAGTAGCCAATCAGAGTGCACCTTCAACGCTGTCCATTGTATTAGTATTAATAATATTCATGAATAAATTAAGCGCGGCTGATTGGCTGAAAACGAGTGCATTTTTTATGTAACATGAGTGCAAATTACAAATAGCGCGCGCTGCAAAATTTCGTCCGTTTTGACTTTCTTTGATGCGTTTTTCATGTAAATTATTCACATGTAACAACATGATATCTCATGCAATTTGGTGTAAATAACAACTTATAAATTCGGGCTCGTGCAATTTTGTCGTCTCGAAAAATTTACTCGTGCTTTTTAAAACCAAATTGCATGAGAAATCATGTTGTTACTCACCCAAATTTCACTCGAAATCACGATAGCCTATACATACTAATTCATTTTCTTACCTGGCTAAGGACATATATACACTTCTAAGTCAGTGAATAATTCAGTTGTATTATGACTCTTGCACAATGGTCCTCAACAATTTTCACTTGTGCAGGACTCATTTTCTTTCTCCATTTCTCAAGAACTTCCTTTGGGTCGCGAATGGTTTCGTAGGCTCCTTTGTGGGCATTGCCAGCTTTTGTCGCCTCGTACAGCCATTGTTTGACTTCATCCGACATTTCCATGCCGACAAACTTGTAAAGCTCGCTCACCATTGAAAAGGGATTCTCAGCGAGGTCTTCGAACCGAATCAACCGGTATCCATTGGGTAATAAAGTTTTAAGGGTCGAAATACCGCTGAGGTCTAACTCCATTTGACGACACATTTTCTTCACAAACCACGAAAATTCACGTTGTTGGTCTTTTTTCCTCCTAAAAAAGTACACAGTCTTTAAAGAATAAGCCACAGCTCGCGGATCGCGCACTAAATGAAAAATTCTACATTGGTTGGCATTGTTGACAGAGCTGCAGCTTTGTAAAAACGTTCTTATCCAGTCAGAGGAGGTTGGTACTCTGGGTGACAACACTTTTGCGGCAAAAACGCTGTAGCTGTTTCGACAGACATATTCAAGTTGCCTTGGTTTGAGTTTTTTGCATGATCCATCCTGAGAACAAAACGGGGAAGACTTCAGTGCTAAGCTTTTGTTGCGCTCAGCTTCTCTAATGTAGCGGGTAAAATTACTTCTTTCAAAGTTGCATCTCACAACATTACTTAGGAATTCATTCGCTGCGGTTTGATAGGAAGAAGACGAGAAGTCATATTCGAATAACGAATCTCTGCTGAAACGTCTTTGTACCGTAATTAGTGGCTCGAATAAGTAAAAAACTCCAGGATGATGATTAAATATGTCGCCTAAGAATGAAGATCCAGACCTTGGGTAGGACAAAATAATAATTTTTGCCTTTTTTGCATGTATAGGGATTTCAAAATTCCTCGTCGAAGTGAGCTCAACTTGTAAATGATGTGGAGAGACGAACTGGTTCATAGCGCCGTGACGACTGGAGAATTCTAGCTGGGCAGAAGTTGTCTTTCTGGAGGCGTACATAAACGTTACAAAAAAAAATAGTAAAGCGATCACCAGTAGAAAGGTCAGGCATGATTTGTTGAAAGCGACAGGACCGCGAGGAATCCTTCTTGCGACCGGTACAACGAATTTCATCTTCCTTAACTGCTCATATTTTCTATGGATAAATTGAATATAAAACAAATCAGACCGTATTCTTTATTCTTTATCCTTTCCCTAACATGTTAATGAGCCCTCTTTGTCTCGAACAAAAAAGATTCTTATCTGGAAACCGGGCAACGAGAACCATTTAACCTGAACAGCACAATTTTTTTTCCTTTCAGAGTGCATTTCGATTGGCTGCTGTTAAACCAAAGGCAAAGTACGTAATCACAACAGCCTTTGAAAGTAAGAATAAATATCACAACGAACTGACAAGAAAACAAAGTAAAAACATGAAAACTTATTAAAATGGCTGGCAAACATGTGTGACGAAGTCGTGATTGATTTTAGTTAAAATACACAATTGTTATCAAACCATTTTATAAGATGCAATGTCGGAGAAACTAGCTTCGGAGCAAATCACGCAATGAAGAGGCAATAACGCTCTTCTTTCATACTTCAGCCAGTAACTACTGCTGCTTCTTCTGCTTCTACCGAAACGTTATTTTAAGGCACTTCGTTAAGTATTTTATCGTTAAACATGTTTGGGTTATGGGCTGAGAGTCGTTTCGACCAAATAATAAACGCGATTACGATGCTGATTAAGGTGCAACTACTTTTTCAAGGTGACTGTAAATGAAAATAACTCCTTCTTACTTCTACTTTACATCCTTCGCACTTCCTTGTAATTAGAAAATTTGTTTGGAGAGCACGTAGTTCGATAATTTAAAATAAAGGGCGCTACCTTGAATAAGCCCTTTTCTTTTTCAAATTTTCTGTTTATTCTGTTGCCATACAACAACCTGAATGGGAAGAGTTCTTTCTAAACCTCTTACTTCGTTGACTTTTAGTTCGCCGACATGTTCCTAAACAAAAATAATGACAAAACTCTTTCTGTGATCCTAGTTCATGACAAGCTTGAGACTTGATCATTTTTACCTTGGCTCTCTTAGGCTTTTGAATCTAGCAGCGAAATGCCTATGATTTTTGGATAATCTAAAATTTCCTATGAACCCTGTGAGTTTTCCGGACTAATCTTTTAAAAATTTAAAAAAAAATCAATATGTGAGCCTTTAGAGAGAACTCAGAGATTCCTGCAAATCTGGGAGTACAATTTTAATTTTATTATTGCAACATCATTTACTGTTTATGACGAGACGATGTAGTTTTGCAAACGAATTTTATGGTAAGCTAGAGATGTTTTCGTAAGGGACTCTACCCCGCTCCCCCCAGCTTCAGCTCGGCCGCCACCAACCCCCCCTTCCCCCCTTCCTCCCCTTCCCTCCTTACCCAGCAGCTGATATTCTTCGGGGACTGTATTAGAAGTTTACACTGAATCCTTCAATATGTTGTCGAATTCGCCCTTACAAAAAATTTTTTTCACTCTAAAGCCTAGTTTATGTAATGTTTTACCTTGCATCTCCATTTTAATAAACAACAACATTTTGCGTGGAAATGACAAAGGATAAAAATCAAAGTGCTCTGTGAGCAAACTCGTGAATTGACACATGATCTTTATCAAATGAGACAAACGGGAACGAGTTTTGAGTGATATAACTAAGCCAAGCCTGCCACCGTCATTTTGGATCTCCGCCTGGGTAGATTTAAGTCATGTGCTAGGCAACGTATAATCAATGACAAGATAGAATTTCATTTCAGGCCTATTTATCAATTTTGTGGTGTGTAACTTTCGCATTTTAGTACGTTGTATGTATGTTGAATCTTCAAGTTGTCTTGAAACTTAAAAGAAAATTGTTCTTTAAAAATTCACTGAAAATCGGTAGCTAAAATTGTTTGTTTAGGTGTTATTTGATTTTCGTCTTAACTTGTTATTTCGTCAGTCGCCGGCATCTTTTGTTGCTTCACACAGGAAAAACACACGCGACGAAACGTAATGATCAATTTTGTCCTCAATCTCACGCCATAACAGAAAAAGCTTTTGAACATCTGTAAACTCCGAGCGCTTCGCAGTAAGTGATATTTTCAATGAATCTTCGGATTGTTTTCAAGTTCAAGGATTGTAAATTACAATTTTATGAAAAACGAATGTTGTTCTGTTATTTCAGTGTGAATCCTTGCATGCCTGCCAGTCGCTGGCGCCGCTTGTTGAAACTAAAACGAAAAAAAAAAACTCTTTTAAGATTATCATTGGCTTCTTTTTCACCCCACCACTATTCTTAGCAACAAAGGTCGCCATTTCGTCTGTTTATTGCTCGCCAAAAACTATCAAATGCACTCAAAAGCCTAAAATCTAAAAAAAGTTTACAGGAATCGACCAATCGAGCGAGCGAGCGAGCGAGCGAATGCCATTCCCCACATCGTATCTATAACTCGCTCTTGCGCATGCGCGCAATTCACGAGTTAAAAAGAAATAAATATATTGCAATAGTAAAAGAGTGCAATATCCGGCTAAGTTATATTTGTCTCCTCAAAATGCTCTAAATGAAATCGCTGAAACATTTTGGTCATTTTCGATCATATGAACTTCAGTTGATTAAGATCTTTAATTATTGACGAATGTGTATACTTCTGATTTTGGATTACGGTGTGATACGTGAAACTAAAGACGGTTTTATACTTTTACTTATTAGAGAAAGCCTTTGGAAAGATCGAGCCAGTCTCATCGAAACTTTCAGTGGCTGACCATTTATGCTTGCTTAACCTTTCTGAAACCTCACTGAACTACTTTTAAAAACGTTTCGAAGATTACGGCAACCGACGTTAACTAATTTACACGCGACTGTTTCATTCGGTGATGATTGGCGATTGAAGAATTTAAGACTCCATTGGCATCAGTTTACCGCGAAACCCTTAAGTTTGCTATCACAGAAAAGTTGTGATTCTGGCTCATTTTACTTGCTAATCACGGACAGGTCTGTAGCAGAATCACACGCTTGAACAATTCCGCTTTTAGTATCGATTATAATAAAACTCACCTTGACTAACACGTAATTGATCTTACATCGAAGTGTTGAATCAAAACACCGAGTGTGTATCGATGCTGGGCTTGAGGAGATTAACATAACACCAGGCAGATTTGTATAGATGGCTTCCTGGTTTAAAGTCTTCTCGCCATTGAATGGGAGCAAAGTTCCTCCGGAGGACCTTTGCGTGAGGAGACCTACGAGAAAACTGAAACTTGATAGGCCTTAGCTCATTCTGATCGATATTTTGCCAGTTCCCAAAATAACAGACAGTCACACTTCTACTGCTTTTAAAGGCATCATACAAAGCCTTATGTATTTCTTGTGGTAGGTTAAGCAATGAACTCAAATTCGTACAGACCTTAAACTTGGGCAGGATTTTGATTTATCGGTGATACACGATAATGTTAATTCTTGGCGTCTGGAAGATAGGTGGCGTGACAGAGAGGACCATCAAAGAAAAAAAGAAAAAAGGGAAAGGACGGTTGGCAGGAACGGAGACTGACGTTCCGAAAACTTGACTGGAGGTCACTGCTATTATCAGAATCATAAAGGTGTTGTATGTCGGGCGAGTGTTGTGAGCCAGCTGACCCTAAAATGTGACTGCAGTCCATTTAAGCAGTCTACGCATATCGGGGTGCTCTATGGACTGGGGATCACCGTTTCATCTCGACCCTACCATCGTCTAGTTTGCATCGTTCTCATTCTTTGTTCCTTTGTAGTCGTTCCAGTTTTTTTCGAGGTCCTGCAAGGACGCGTTGAGCTCAGTTTGTTGAGATTTTGTTGAAGTTGTTTGTTGTTGTAGTGTTTAAGTCTCCTGCGGCAATCAATTGCTGATGAATGCTCAACAATTTAATCAAGATAGATATGTTATCTGCCGCCCGGGAGGCACATTGAAAAAAATGTGAGCGAGGTTTTTATAATGCAGCGGCCGAGGGCAGAGTTTTTCACGTTATGGACCGACCCCAAGCCAATAAATTATTCATTTATTTTGTCCCTTTCTTAAATCACCACAATAGTTGTTTCCTTTTCCATACGTATAATCATTTAAACTTTTACTTCCCTAACTCTTTCGAGCGTACAAAGAATACTCGGATTAGAGCAAACCACAGCCATAAACTTTATATAAAAGTAGCCAACCTAAACTGCTATAGGAATTCTTTCTTTGTCGGGATAATAAATGCATAAAATAGTCGACCCAGTGAAGATGTACACGTTGGTTCACTGACTATGTTTAGGTCAACACTGAAGACTATTGTGGACGTTGAGTAAATTATAGAATATTTCTTAGTTTAGTAAGAAAATATTTTCATTATTTTTGACCTGGAAACTGATTGATATTGGTGTCCAAAATCAAAAATCGAACACTGGTGTCAAAAACAATCCGAACATTAGTGTCCTAAATAAAAAATCAGCCACTAGGGTCCAAAGCCAAAACTCGGCCAGTTGTGTCCAAAATCCAAAATTGGCCACAACAGTCAAAAATCCAAAATAAGCAATTAGTGTCCAGAAATGAAATTCAACAACTAGGGTCCAATTTCCAAAATAGACCACTAGTGTCCGAAATCCAAAATCGGCCAGTAGTGTCCAAAATCCAGAATCGGCCACTAGTATCCAAACTCTATAATTGGCCACTAGTGTCCAGAAATAAAAATCAGCCACTAGGGTCCAAAACCAAAAATCGGCCACTAGTGTCTAAAATCCAAAAACGGCCACTGGTGTCCGAAATCCAAAATCGACCAGTTGTGTCCAAAATCCAGAATCGGTCACTAGTTTCCAAAGTCTATTATTGGCCACTAGTGACCAGACATAAAAATCGGCTACTGGGATACAATATCCAAAATAGTGTCCAAAATCCAGAATCGGTCACTAGTTTCCAAAGTCTATTATTGGCCACTAGAGTCCAGAAATGAAAATCGGCCACTGGTGCCCAAAGTCTAAAGGCGGCCACTAGGGTGAAAAATCCAGATTCGGCTACGAGGGTGAAAAATCCGGAATCGGCCCCTAGGGTACAGAATCCCAAATCTGCCACAAGTGTTCAAAATCCCAAATAAGCCACTAGCGTTCAAACTTTAGAATTGGCCACTACTGTCAAGAATCCAAAATCGGCCACAAGGGTTCAAAATCCCAAATTGGCCACTAGTGTCCGAAATCCAAATTCGGCCACTAGGGCCCAAAATCCTAAATTGGCCACTAGGGTCCAAACTCTGTAATCGGCCATTAGTGTCCAAAATTTAGAATCGGCCACTAGGATTCAAAATCGAAAATCGGCCACTAGAGTCCAAAATCAGATATGGGCCATTAGTGTCGAAAATCCATAATCGGTGACTAGTGTCCAAAATTTAGAATCGGCCATTACTGTTCAAAATCCAAAATCAACCACTAGGGTCCAAAATCCAAAATAAGTCACCAGGGTCTAAAATCCAAAACCGGCCACTAAGGTCCAAAATTCAATATCGGCCACTAGGGTCTAAAATCCAAAATTGGCCACTAGGGTCCAAAATCCAAAATCGGTCACCAAGGTCTAAAATCCAAAATTGGCCATTAGGGTCTAAAATCCAAAATTGGCCACAAGGGTCCAAAATCCAGAATCGGCCACTGGGGTCTAAAATCCAAAACTGGCCACGAGGGTCCAAAATCCAGAATCGGCCACTAGGGTCCAAAATCCAAAATCCAAATCTACCACTAATATTTTAAATCCAAAATCGGCCACTAGGGTCAAAAATCCGATATCGGCCGCTAGTCATGAGGAGCTTTGGCCCCGAAAAAATTCGCAGCATGCATTCTACTGAGGCGCTATATTTCTGTCATCGGTGTAGAGAATTACATCAACGTTTGCGGTCGGTAGGTGTCTATGCGGTTACTTAAACCTGTTGATTATAAGTTAAAGTTTCACCTAATAATAAATACTGCATCTATGCTCGAATTTCAATTACGAAAACACAAGAAATCTGGCATTGAAATCACTTGGCGCGATCTTATTATGGAGGCTGAAGTCTTCGATCGATCGGCAGAGCTTTCTATAGTTACGAGATCCAATCTCGCCCCAAAAAGTACTGGTATGTGCTAACAAAAAGTTAAAGTGTAATCAGGTCGAAAGCTTTTACAAAGAACGAATTGTTTCGTTGATTCCGCGATGACTACAATACGTTCTGTCCCGCCAGCAGGTCTCAAGCGCGCCAACAAAGGCTGTTCGTTCAACGCCAGGTAACCAAACAACATGCATGTTATATCCTCAATTGGTCTCTGTGCCGGACTTATTAGACAGGGAGAAATCCAGCAGATGGATTCGCGAGGTCTCAAAACATAATCTTGTTGTTGATGAGGTAAATCAAATCGCCCTCGATCGTACACTTTAGGCGGGAAATGCCACCAGTCGAAACATCATGGGAAATTGCAATGATGTCAGTCAAGAATAGCCGAGCTTGACAAAGACATTCGGGAACTAGTAAAGGATAAAAATTATATAAGTTAATGGTGGATACCTCAACTTTCAGTCAAAAGAAAGAGTCTAGACAAAGAGCGGTCTCCTGATATAAATTAGTGTGAATTCAATTTTTCGTGCCCTCTTGGGCAGTGTATACCTGAGGATTACTTTTAATCTCTTGCACACCCTCTTGATTACTGTATACCTGAGGGTTGTTTTAATCTCTTGCATACTCTCTTGGGTAGTGTATACCTGAGGATTAATTTTTGATATCTTCTATACCCTCTCGGGTAGTGTATACCTGAGGGTTATTTTTAATCTCTTCTATACCCTCTTGGGTAGTGTATACCTTAGGTTATTTTTAATCTCTTGCATACCCTCTTGGGTAGTGTATACCTGAGGGTTATTTTTAATCTCTTCTATACCCTCTTGGGTAGTGTATACCTTAGGTTATTTTTAATCTCTTGCATACCCTCTTGGGTAGTGTATACCTGAGGGTTATTTTTAATCTCTTCTGTACCCTCCTAGGTAGTGTATACCTGAGGGTTATTTTTAATCTCTTGCATACCCTCTTGGGTAGTGTATACCTGAGGGTTATTTTTAGTCTCTTCTGTACCCTCTTGGGTAGTGTATACCAGTAGTGTATACCTGAGGGTTATTTTTAATCTCTTGCATACCCTCTTGGGTAGTGTATACCTGAGGGTTATTTTTAATCTCTTCTGTACCCTCTTGGGTAGTGTATACCTGAGGGTTATTCTTAATCTGTCCTATACCCTCTTGGGTAGTGTATACCCGAGGGTTATTTTAAATCTCTTGCATACCCTCTTGGGTAGTGAATACCTGAGGGTTATTCTTAATCTGTCCTATACCCTCTTGGGTAGTGTATACCTGAGGGTTATTTTTAATCTTTTCTATACCCTCTTGGGTAGTGTATACCTGAGGCTTATTTTTAATCTCTTCTATACCCTCTTGGGTAGTGTATACCTGAGGCTTATTTTTAATCTCTTCTGTACCCTCTTGGGTAGTGTATACCTGAGAGTTTTTTTTTTAATCTCTTCTATACCCTCTTGGGTAGTGTATACCTGAGGGTTATTTTTAATCTCTTCTATACCCTCTTGGGTAGTGTATACCTGAGGCTTATTTTTAATCTCTTGCATACCTTCTTGGGTAGTGTATACCTGAGGGTTATTTTTAATCTCTTCTGTACCCTCTTGGGTAGTGTATACCTGAGGGTTATTCTTAATCTGTCCTATACCCTCTTGGGTAGTGTATACCTGAGGGTTATTTTTAATCTCTTGCATACCCTCTTGGGTAGTGTATACCTGAGGGTTATTCTTAATCTGTCCTATACCCTCTTGGGTAGTGTATAGCTGAGGGTTATTTTTAATCTCTTCTATACCCTCTTGGGTAGTGTATACCTGAGGGTTATTTTTAATCTCTTCTATACCCTCTTGGGTAGTATATACCTGAGGCTTATTTTTAATCTCTTTTATACCCTCTTGGGTAGTGTATACCTGAGGCTTATTTTTAATCTCTTCTATACCCTCTTGGGTAGTGTATACCTGAGGGTTATTTTTAATCTGTCCTATACCCTCTTGGGTAGTGTATACCTGAGGGTTATTTTTAATCTCTTCTATACCCTCTTGGGTAGTATATACTTGAGGGTTATTTTTAGTCTCTTCTATACCCTCTTGGGTAGTGTATACCTGAGGGTTATTTTAAATCTCTTGCATACCCTCTTGGGTAGTGAATACCTGAGGGTTATTCTTAATCTGTCCTTTACCCTCTTGGGTAGTGTATACCTGAGGGTTATTTTTAATCTCTTCTATACCCTCTTGGGTATCGTATACCTGAGGCTTATTCTTAACCTCTCCTCAGCATACCCTCTTGGGTAGTGTATACCTGAGGGTTACTGTTGTCTTCTTTAAGACATGTATTGTCTCTACAGAGAAAATAAACTTAGCGTACTTCCCTTTAAGTTTTTTCGAATTAGACCCGTTAAGTTTGTATGAGACATTTCCCTGGACTTTTGTTTCTGGAAATGAGTGAACAAAGTAGAGTTGTATCTTGAAAATGATTAGAAATGTAATCATCGGAAGTTGCGGTTTTCTCCATTCTATTCGAGGGGAGCATAATTACATTTTTTGAAGCGATTATCGGATGTCCTGGAATGTTTAGCGAACACCTCATGCCACCAGGAGGCGTCGAAGCTTGGCTTGAATACTTATGCAAATTAGCTGACTGCACATTCAGTGTGCAGCCAGCTAATTTGCATAAATTTTTTTCCGACGCAAAGCTCGTCATGCCAAAATCGCACATCGGCCAATAGGGTCCAAACTCTATAATAGGCCACTAGTGTCCAAAATCCAGAATCCTAAATCTGTCACTAGTGTTTAAAATCCAAAATCGGCCACTAGGCCATTAGTGTCCAAATTCCAAAATCAGCCACCAGGGTCCAAAATCCGATATCGGCCGCTAGTTTCATAAGTCCCAAATCCGCAACTAGTGGCCAAAATCCAGAATCGGCCACTAGGGTCATCTGTCACTAGTGCTTAAAACCCAAAATCGGCCACTAGGGTCCAAAATTAAAAATCGACCATTAATGTTCAGAATCCAAAATCAGCCACAAGGGTCCAAAATCCGATACCGGCCGCTAGTGTCCAAAATCCAAAATCTAAAATCGGCCACTATGGTCCAAACTCTATAATCGGCCACTAGAGTCCAGAAATGAAAATTGGCCATTAGTATTTAAAATCCAAGACCGGCCACAAGGGTCCAAAATCCCAAATCGGCCACAAGGGTCCAGAATACAAAATCTGCCACTAGTGTTTAAAATACAAAATCAGCCACAAGGGTCCAAAATCCCAATTCGGCCACTAGGGTCCAAATTCTATAAGCGGCACCTAGAGTCCAGAAATGAAAATTGGCCATTAGTGTCCAAAATCCAAACCGGCCACTAGGGTCCGAAATCCCAAATCGGCCATTAGGGTCTAAAATCCAAAATCTTTCACTGGTGTTCGTAATCTAAAATCAGCTAGTTGTGTCCAAAATCCAGAATCGGCCGCTAGTGTCCAATATCCAAAATCGCCCAAAAATGTCTAAAATCCAAAATCGGGTTCAAGAGTCCAAAATCCCAAATCGGGCACTAGTGTCCGAAATCCGAAATCGGCCAGTTGTGCCCAAAATCCAGAATCGGCCATTAGAGCCAAAAATGAAAATCGGTCACAAGGTATCCGAAATGCATAATCGGTCACTGGTGCCCAAAATCCATAATTGACCACAAGTGCCCAAGTCCATAATCGGCCTCTAGAGTCCAGAATTCAAAATTGGCCACTATTGTTCAAAAATCAAACATCAGACGCTAGTGTCCAAAATTAATAATCGGACATTGATTATCTAAATTCAAAAACGGATATTTGTGCCTAAAATCAATAATCGTAATAACGGAAGTACGTAGATCTGAAAACGAAGATTAGGAGGTCTCAAGATCTGACTAGGTGTTAGTGACGTGCGGTTGGCTTGGCTAGGATCGTTTTCCAGTTTCTGCCGAGCTGCTTCTAAAGCTACGTCGATCGGAACGTTGGTAAACAACGATTCTACGTAGAAGGACATCATGATCTCGCTTTCTTGAATCCACAAAGTGGGCTGAGTTGGGCCCTGTAAAATCTGAGTTACATGTTATTGGAGATAATACATTAGCTCGATAAGCGGACAAATCATATGCGAAGGTGTTCACGCATGACGCAATGGGTCTATTTAGATATTTCTGCAAGGAAAGTTCTCTCTCTTTTTTTAATTATCTTGAAATGTTTATCGTCTTTTGTAGTGTCGCGGCGAGAACTGAAAATAGTGCGCTAGTGGCTATAGGCCAAAAATCACGAATGTCGAGCTTAATTATAGGATGCTTCGAGTAAAACAACAATTAGCACCGAGAAAAATCGGGTCAAATTTTGTCAAGCTCTGAATTCTATTGTTATTTACCATCACTCTCTTACTCACCCATCCCCGTAATATAGTGGATTCGCCTCCTATTATCTAGGGGGCAGTAGTTACAAAAGTTATATCTTCGGTTTTACTGGGCATTATTCGCTGATTTTAACGGTGATATGCTCTCTCTTTAAAAGGAAAACTTTTTCTTCTAAGTTTTCACGACGCTCCGATCACACCTATCATGATATTTTTACAAGGAAAAGTTTTGTTTTAAATCACACGCCATGTTTGTGAGATGTTTATAGTCTTCTGTAGAGTCACGACAGGAACTGAAAAAAAAAATGCGTCTCCCATTTTTTAAGGCACAAACTAAGTTGTTTCGGGGGCTTCCTTCTCTCTTTAGTGTATGCTGCCCCCAATAATCTCTAGTGCAAATGTCGATCAACGAAGATACTCAGAAATAAACAGTACGTGACATCGAGTCAAAATTGGGTGAAGTTCGGCATTATATTGTTACTTACCATCGCTCAGTTCGATGACATATGCGGTTTTGCCTCCCCTGAGAGGCAGTAGCCACAAAAATTGAAAAGCCTCTGTGTCATTTGTGAGTTGTTTAGATGGTAAAGTATCAATCAGTGTGGGTTGGTCCCTTAAGCAGGGTCACTAGGTCGAGAATACGAAGCTACGAATTCGAGCATAATAAAATAGAAGAT